GAGTCCTCCCCCCTATTAATAGACATGCCCAAGGAAAGCTGCTGAGGAGGGCAATGGGGCAGCGACTAAATAAGGCAGACAAGTGCTGGCTCGGGTGGTGGGGCCGGCCCCCCAACTCCCACAGCCACTGGACAGAGACTGGACAGCCACTGGTCTGGAATGGCAGAGCGTCTCCTGTTTCAGCAGGGGGTTGGACTAGAAGACCTCCAAGGTCCCTTTCCATTCTATTCTATTCTATTCTGTTCTATTCTGTTCTGTTCTACTCTAATTCTAATTCTAATTCTAATTCTATATTCTATTCTATATTCTATTCTATATTCTATTCCATATTTATTCTAATTCTAATTCTATTCTCCCTTCCAACTCTGGTGTTCTCTTCTGTTCCATTCCATCCATGGACCGCCCAGGGCGAGGACCAGGTCCAATTCAAGGCCTCTCCCCATCCTGGTAAGTGAACTGTCCGTGCTCAGATCCATCTGGACTTTCCTATCTTCTGTGCTCCAACAGGAAGGTCTGGCAGGCAGCTGCTTGCACCCAAAAAGCTGCCACCCTCTGGTTTCTCCTGGGGAAGAGTTTGGCCCTCTTTGGCTGCGGCTGGGGAGAGCAGGTGCAGAGATACCAGGCTGCCAGAGAGAGGCGCCACAGGCCAGGATGCTGCACTGGTCAAGAGAGCCAGCTGGGAGCAGAGCCAGAAGAGGAGCAGGGCTGACGCAGGGGCAACGCAGGACTTTGGCTTCACGCCCTGTCCCTTCTCTTGCAGTTACCATGATTGACACCCAGCTGTTCCCCACACCCCCAACGCCGAGCAGTTCCCACGCCCACCGGACCCCTTAAGGCTCCTCCCAACACTGGGGCCCACCCAGGCAGCCCCTTCCAGGACTGCTCTTCTGCTTAGACCAAGGGTCTCCAAAGTTGGCAACTTTGTGGACTTCAAATCCCAGAATTCCACAGCCAGCAATGCACCTGAAGGCAGGACAAGAAGCAACAGACAGAAACTCATCAAGGAGAAGCAGCCCACAGTCAAGGAGGAATTTCCTGACAGAACAATCAGCCAGTGGAACAGCTGGCCTCAAGACGTTGTGGGGGCTCCATCACTGGAGGTTTCGAAGAAGAGACTGGGCAGCCATTTGCCTGGGATGGTATAGGGTCTCCTGTCTGAGCAGGGGGTTGGACTAGAAGACCTCTAAGGTCCCTTCCAATTCTGTTGAAGGTTGATGGCCATATAATAGGTGTGGTTTCGTAGATGTCACTTTAACGCATTCTTTCTGCACAACGCTTTTCCGACGGAATTTTGGGACAGGGATGCCAACTAGATCAGAGGTGGGGAAGGATGGCCCATTTATGACTTGTGGACTTCAACTCCCAGAATTTCAGAGCCAGCAGAAGTAGCCTTGGTGGCGCAGCAGACTAAAGCACTGTTAAGATAACACCAGCTGCCTGCAATTACTGCAAGTTCAAATCTCACCAGGCTCAAGGTTGACTCAGCCTTCCATCCTTTCTAAGGTAGGTAAAATGAGGACCCAGTTTGTGGGGGCAATAAGCTGATTTTGTATAAAAAAGAACACCGCTTGGGGGGGCCCAAAAGCCTTACTAAGCAGGTATACACAAAAGTATGACGGCTATTGCTTAAAAACCATTGTAAGCCACCCTGAGTCTCCGGAGAAGGGCGGCATATAAATCGAACCAATATATAGTTGATTGGTTGGAGGTTGCCAGCTCCATCATGAGGCAACCTGTGCTATGATTGGTTAAGGGGGTGTAAAGGGGGCGTTTCCCTTCCCCCCCCGCCTTTTTTCTTCTGTTGAGCTCTGTATGCTACAGGTAGTCCTCGACTTACAACAGTTCATTTAGTGACCGTTCAAAGTTACAAAGGCACTGAAAAAAGTGACTTATGACTGTTTTTCACACTTACAACCGTTGCGGCATCCCCATGGTCATGTGATCCAAATTCAGAGGCTTGGCAACTGGCGTGGACTTATGACAGTTGCAGTGTCCGGGGTGTGTGGGGGGGATGTCACGTGATCCCCTTTTGTGACCTTCTGACGAGCAAAGTCAATGGGGAAGCTGTATTCACTTAACAACCTTACTAACTTAACAAGTACAATGATTCACTTAAACAACCGAGACAAGAAAAGCCGTGAAATGGGGCAAAACTCACTTAACAAATGTCTCACTTAGCAACATAAATTTTGGACTCAATTGCAGTCGTTAAGTCGAGGAACTACCTGTATTTGATTTAACCTCATGATGCTCCTGTGTGCCTGACTATATTGTCTGCAGTAAATATAATAAATGCTAAACATATTTATTTATATAAAACTACACATTTGTGTCAGTGTCTCTGACTTCATTTGAACACTTGCTGCACAATTCTCTGACACTCTGCCAGGCAAAGTGGGCTGGGGAGAGCAGGGAAAACCCACCGGCCTCCAGGCTTCATCCCCCTTCCTCCCCACCCCCACCCCCACCCCGTGTTCAAGCCCAGCTTCCACTGACTTTGAAGCCAGGCAGAAAAGCAAAGCCGAGACATTCTCTAGGAAACCAATGGCCGTAACCTTTGAGACTCACCTGCCTGGAAATCACCTGAACTGAAAAACAGGTCTTTCCAGAACGGCTGAAAACAACAGTTTTCTCTGTTATCAGGACATCTCTTTATTCGATGGTGGGTGTGCCATCTTCGCAGTTTCAGCAAAACATTTGACACGTTTTTCCTTAAAAGTGAGGTTAAAGTCAGTCCATTGGAGCTGGGTGGCCAATAAGTTTAAATCAATAAATGCACCTGCATGGCGAGGCAATAGAACGATAGACTCAGAATAACTTTATTGTCACTGAATGTACACTGATCGGCATACATTAAAATGAAACTTCGTTGCATGCAGCTGTCAAAGGGCCTCCACCTCCAATAAACAGCTGGCTTTAAAATGACGAATGGCTTTGATCAAACTGCTAGAAGATTTTGTGCGGGGTCCATCATAGGCCGGTGTTTGGCCTTCTGCCACCCACAGCCTCCCACCGACCAGTCCGCTCCCACAGAGAGGGACTCCTCAGGGTACCATCGGCCAAGTTATGTCGGCTGGCGACACCCAGGAGGAGGGCCTTCTCTGTCGGAGCCCCTGCCCTCTGGAATGAATTGCCCCCGGATATTCGTAACATCTCTGACCTCCGGGTCTTTCGCTGTGCCCTCAAGACCCTACTGTTCCGACAGGCGGGGCTGTCTAACTGAATGATTTTAAATTGGGTTTTAACTTTGGGTTTTAATATTGGGTTTTAAAATTTGCCCAAAACTATTTAATGATTTTAATTAACTATGATATTGTATATTTATGTTTTTAATCTTGGCTGTACACCACCCCGAGTCCTTCGGGAGAAGGGCGGTATATAAATAAATATTATTATTATTATTATTATTATTATTATTATTATTATTATTATTAAATATCAGAAAGAAATTTCACGGAAACAAGTGCAAAAGGCTTAACTTGGAAAGAAAAGCCGAACCCCACAGGAATGGGATGGGGGATGCCTGCCTTAGTAACAGCACTAATTAGAACAATTAACCAGTGGAACAAAAGTTGTGGGTGCTTCAACAGTGGAGGCTTTTAAGAAGAGATTAGACAACCATTTCTCTGAAATGGTGTAAGGTCTCCTACTTGACCAGAGGGTTGGACTAGAAGACCTCCAAGGTCTCTTCTAGCTCTGTTATTCTATTCTCTTATTCTGTTCTAAAACATCTTGGCATAATATCTGACTCAAGAGAAGTTAACAGCAAGATATAACTGCCAAAAAGCAAATGCAGCTTCAGGCTGTAGCATGGCTGGCTGGGGAATTCTGGGAGTTGAAGTCCACAAGTCTTAAAGCTGCCAAGACTGGATAACCCATTTCTCCCGAGGCCATGCTCCTGACTTTTCTAGTCCAACCCCGTGCTCGAGCAGGAGACCTGACGCCCTTTCAGACAAATGGTGGTTCCGTCTTTTCTTAAAAGCCTCCAGCGATGGAGCACCCACAACTTTTGAAGGCAAGTTTTCCCACTGATTAATTGTTCTCGCCATCAGGAAATTTCTCCATAGTTCTAGGCTGGATCTCCCCTTGATTTCTTTCCAGCCATTGCTTCTTCTCCTGCCTTCTGGTGCTTTGGAGGATAGGTTGACCCCCTGCCTTCTTTGTGGCAGCCCCTCAAATATTGGAAGGCTGCTACGATGTCCCCCCAGTCCTTCTTTTCTCTACACTGGCCACGCCCGATTCCTGCAACTGTTCTTCCTATTGTTATGTCTCCAGGCCTTTAATCATCTGTTTGCTCTTCTCTGCACTTTTTCCAAAGTCTCAGTCAACCGTCAAGTAGAAGCACAAAGGGGGCATTCAGGCTCCCACTTGGTCCAGTTTAAGTTAAGCTGACTGGAATCACTGAGAGTGAATTGGGCAGCCATATAAATTTCCATCAAGAAATCAATTTCCAGAGATGAGCTTTTAGGGAAAAACTTGTGAGCGACAAAACTGCTAAAGGAAAGTTCCTACCTTGGCAGCTTGAAGATGGGTGAACTTTGTGCTGGATAGAATTAGGTGAGATGAGCGGCTTTATAGATTGGATTAATAAAATAAAGGAATAAAATGAGTGTTACCATTGGCAAGATGGGCGGCTAATAAATTTTACAAATAAATCTCTTAGAACTCTTCTAAATGTTAATAAGGATACAGGTAGTCCTTGACTTATGACCAGAACTGAGCCCAAAATTTATGTTGCTAAGCAAGACAGTTGTTAAGTGAGTTATGCCCTATTTTATGGCTTTTCCTGTCACAATTGTTAAGAGATCACTGACGTTGTTAAGTGAATCTGGCTTCCTCCTTGATTTTGCTTGTCAGAAGGTCAGAAAACGGGAATCACATGACCCCGGGACACTGTGACCGCCATAAATAGGAGCCAGCTGCCAAGCACCTGAATTTGGGCCCCATGAGCCTGGGGATGCTACAAAGGTTGCAAGTGTGAAAAAACTGTCATCTCTTCTTCCAGGGCCACTGTAACTTTGAAGGATCACTAAATGGACCGTTGTAAATCGAGGACTACCTGTCATTAAATAAATGAAATGAAATACTCCGGGAGTGGAAGCTGCCAAGTTCCAGCACTGCGGTGGTTGGAAGCTTCAACCCACTTCCCGGCGGCCTCCCGCTCTCCAAGGAGCCGAAGGGCTGCCCAGCCGATCTGGAGCCTGCAGAGGGGCCGCCGCGAGAACCGGCGCGCTCCGGTGCCGAGCATCTCAGCCGGGCGCGGAGCTCAGGAAGGGCGGCGGTCGCGGGCGGGGAGGGGGACGCCTCGGGCTCCGGAGGGCGGCGGAAGACAGGCGGCCGGCCTTCTGTCTCGGAGCCCGCGCGCCCGCCCAGCAGGGAGGCCCGGCCCCGTTTCTGGCCAGCTGCGCGCAGGCGGCCCGTGGCCGGAGCCGCGGTGGCGAGAGGAGGAGGAGGAGGAGGAGGAGGAGCGGGGCGGCGCTTGGCCGGGAGAAGGGCGGCGGCGGCGGCCCCTCGCAGGTGAGCGGCCAGCGGCTCCTCGGGGCAGGTGAGCAGCGGGGCCGGCGACGAGCCCCACGGAGGGCGCCGCCGGGGAGGCCATCCGGCCCTCGGGGAGAAGGAAGGGGCGGCCGCCGGCCCTGGGCAGCGCAGCAGCCCCGCCGAGCCCCGATGGCCTCCCGCCTTCTGCACCGGCTGCGGCACGCGCTGGCCGGGAGCGGGGAGGCGGAGGGGCCGGCCGGGGGCTGCGCCGGGGCCGAGGACTGTCCGGAGAGCTCGGAGCTGGACGACGACACGGAGGGCCTGGCCACGCGCCTCAGCGGCACCCTCAGCTTCAGCAGCCATGAGGAGGAGGAGGAGGAGGAGGGAGCCCGGCTCGGGGCCGCCGGAGGGAAGCTGGGGGCTCTCTTGGATCTCGACCTGCCCGGAGATGCGGCGGAGATCGGAGGTACGGCGTGAAAGGGGCAGAGAACCAGGGTTTATATGCGGAGGGCAAGATCGGCCATAAATCCCACGCCCTGAATTTAGGTCGAAGTTCCCAATTCCCGGTTTAGAAGGGGAGATCCAAGCAGCTTCCCTTCCTGATGCCAAATCTGGACTCCAGTAGAAATGCAATTCAGAATAACAGAGTTGGAAGGGCCCTCGGAGGTCTTCTAGTCCAACCCCCTGCCCAAGCAGGTGACCCCACACCAGTTCAGACCAATGGGTGTCCAATCTCTTCTTAAAAACCTCCAGTGATGGAGCCCCCACAACTCTGGAGGCCGGCTGCTCCACTGGTTAATTGTGGCTCCACGGGCCAACCCCCAGACTCACCTGTTGCTCTCTCCCCCCCTTTGGCTTAGAGTCTGGCTCCCCCCTGGCCGAGCAACGGGGCAGCCACCTGCTCACCCGCCAGTTGCAGGAGTTCTGGCGGAAATCGCGGGGAAGCTTTGTGCCCCAACGCCTCCTGTTCGAGGTCACCAGCGCCAGCGTGGTCAGCGAGCGCAACTCCAAGCACGTGGTGAGTGAAGGAGGGGGCTCAAAGAAGGGGACCGGGCAGGAGCCCTCTTGCCCAGGTTGCAAGGAAGCGAGGTGCAGGGCGCTCCTGCTTTCCCCCCAAGGAAGGCCAGCCCAAAGCAAGATGCAGGACCCCCAGGTATTGGAAGGACACCCTGTGGTTCCCCATAGTCTCAGCTGTCCCTTCTCCCCAAAGGGGCCTGCCCATACCTTTCAGTGGGGTTGGGGTCCTGGGGGGCAGCTGGCTTTGACTGTTGTCTCTTTCCTTCTGCTGCTGCATTGGGCACTCCGGGCTCAGAAGAGCCTCAGGTAATTCTCTTCGAGGGGCAGGAGCCGCTTCACCTGCCAACACCCCCCACGTCTCTGCCGCTGGAGAGGAGCCTCTGCAGGAAGCCTGTCAGTGGGAGGGTCAACAGGCTTTGCTGCGGGGAGGGGGATGGGCTGGGCAGCTGCTTCTCGCTCCCTCTTCACCTATTTGTCCCTTGGCACCCAGCTCTACACCATCTACCTGATCCGGGCAGGGCAATTTGACCACACGCCTGCCACCATCGCCCGCTGCTACTCCGACTTCGAGCGGCTGAACCGACGCCTGCGCCGCCACTTCAGCAGAGACATGGCGGGGGTCCCTTTCCCCCGGAAGCAGCTGTGGCACAACTTCACCCCTGCGACCATCGCCAAGCGCAGCCGAGCGTTCGAACAGTTTCTCTCCCGCCTGCACGCCTCGCCCGAGATCCGCCGCTCGGCCACCTTCCTGGAATTCTTCTTCCTGGACAGCCTGCAGCGGGCGCAGGGCTTGACTGGCAGGGGTCTCTACCCCCAGGCCTTGACCGCCTGGATGACCTCACAGCGGCTGCAGGAGAAACTGGGTGCCTGCCGCTCGGGGCATTTCTTGCTGACGCTGGCCGGTCTGACTGTCTGCCATCAAGAGCTGGAGCAGTGGGGAGAGGCCGAGGAGGCCTGCCAGCAGGCCCTGCAGCAGCTGGAGGGTCAGCAGAGCCACCCCCTCCTGGCTGCCCTCCTGCAGACCCACGTCCACCTGGCCTGGGTGCTGGGCAAGGACAAGCAGCAGGCGGAGACCCATCTGCAGGAATTGGGGGAGGGCAAACAGCCGACACCCCCTTTGAAGGAGCTGCTGCTCAAACAGACGCTGCCCTGAGGAGCTGCCAGGAAGTGGGGGCACCAGATGAGAAGCAGAGGGGCATCTGCGAGAGGCCAGCAGCAAGAGCCAGTGCCATCTTCCTCTTGTGAGCTCTGCGTCTCTGCTTGCCCAGCAGCTGGATGAAGCTGGCTGGCCCGTTCAGAAGAGGCTTCTGGGATGCAGACCCACAATCCCCCAAATCCTTCCAAGAAAGTGAGGTGATGACAATGGCTGTGTTGTCACTGAGCATCTGCAGGGCTGGCTGGCAGAGGGGCGGCAAAGGGCCCTCCTGAGAGGCTCCCCACAGGCTATTCTCGCTCAATTGGGGGAGACCATTAGGCACTGCCGAAGGCGGGACTCTGGCCGCAGCCTGAGAAGTAGGCAGGGTCCCCCTTCAGGTGGAGCCACAGGAACGTCTTCCTTCCCTTCAGAAACCAGAGCTGCGTGGGATGCTTTACTCCCTTTATTAACTGTCAGGGAACAGAAGCCAGTCTCTAATAAATTAATATGCCCAAGGAAAGTGGGGTGCCAATGTTTCCATCAGTAACTGCCATCTCCAGGGGTTATGGGAATCCTTGTAAGCAACCGTCACCCACCGAAGACTCAGCCAGTGCAAGAGGGAGGGAGGGGGGGCTCCCCTTAGGAGAGGAGTACCAATGGGGAAGAAACAGACTGCTACAGTTTGCTGGTGGCAGGCTGCTCTTCCTGTACGCGGATTACTCCTTCCTGGGCACAGCTGACCGCCAACACACCATCTCTGCGCCACAGGCGGCCCTGTACCAAGCCCCGACTGCCACCTGTGGGGGGGAGGAGGAGGAAAATGGAGAAGCTGCCACACCTCCTGCTGCTTTGGAGTCTCTCCTGGACCACCCGCCACCCTCACAGGCTGGCCGAGGCGCTTACCGGCCCAGGGGCTCTCACACTCGTACAGCATCCACTGATCGGTTCTGAAGGGCGCGTGGAACCACATGGTGTGATCGAGCGAGACCATGAACTTCACTGTGTGGTGCTGGTGTGGCAACAGGGCTGTCCGCAGGAACGCATAGTCCGAGATGTACGCAGCCACGCAGCAGTGCAGCTTCATGTCACATTCACCTGAAATGGAGAAGCCAACACTAGCGCCAAAGCCGGCATTGCCTGAAGGCAAAGCAAGGGGGTGAGTCTGGGGGCGGGAGGGAGAGTGAGGAGGTTGGGCTACACAGGAAAAGGCAAGGCAGCCCTGTTCAACAGGCCAAGCGCTCTTCTGCCCGTGGGGGGTGGGAGGTGTCTTCGGCACACATTTCTTGCAGTGTTTGTAATCATCCCGAGGGCAGAATTGAGCATGTTAATTAAAAACCAGTAAACCACCCAAAGCTCTAAATTTCACAAAATCATCTGCAGCATAGAAAACAATGCTGGTCAGACTGCATCCTGAAGCAACTAGCCGGCAGAGGAGGAGGAGGAGGAGGCAGCCACTCTTGGGCCTTGAGGGGGGCGGAGGCAGATTCGTTTTGAAGGAGGCGGTTCCTAAGCCCAGCCCCATAACAAGCACTTGTACTCAGAACCCCACTCATACAAACACGGTGCCTGAAGGGCTGGCGCTGTCCTTCCCAGGTGGTTCTCCCCTGCCAATAGGAATGTCCCCAACTGGCCCACCAGCAGAAGACAAGAGATGGGCTCAAAGGGACAGCTTTTCTGAAGGAGATGGGGCAAAAAGACCACCACTCCCCACAGAGCCTCCTCACACCACAAGAACCTTCAGCTGGCAAACGGAGGTCTCTGCTTTCTCCAGCTAGCTCTTCCCTCCCCTGGGAGCTGACCAAGAGCAGGGCATGATAAAGCTGCTCTTGGAAAGCAGGCTGGGGTCAGGATGCAGGTCTTACCGATGTAGCCCTTGGCACGCACCCAGAAGAGCTGCTTGGGTTCCTGGGAATTCTGGTGGAAAAAGTCAGGTGGATTCACCGGCTTCATCTCAATTGGAACTTCCTGGGCCAGCATTCTCCGGAGTCCCTGCCGATATCTCTCTAGAAGGTTGGGATCCCTTTGGAAAAAAGGCAGATGCCAGTGTGAGATGCTAGAAATCACGGAGGCTGTGCCAGTACAGTACTTTCTGCCAAAGGTGGAGAAAAGTGGAAGCAGAGTGGAGACTGTGCCTCAGTCTGAGCTGCAGCAGCCTCGGCTCAACACGCCGATGGCACCTCTGAGGCCCTGGATTCTGTACTGCTGCCAGGAAAAAGCAACGAATTTAGGATACACTCCCAACTGCCAGAGATACAAGAATCTCCAAGGAATTTCTCAGGGGCAGAGCTAAACTCTCTTCAGGGCCAATTCCTGCATTCCAGGATGGAGCGGCTGGGGGCATCTCCCACTGAGAGATGCCAGGTGTGCCGTTGGCTCAGCACTGCAGCAAGCCCTCTTCCTCCCAGCCACTCACCGCAGATACTTCTGGATCAGCTGCTCCTGCGTCAGCAGTTCCTCTGGGAGCGGCACAGCCGGCATTTGGAACTGGTGCTGCACCAGGCTGGGCTGCCCCCGTTGGAAGGAAGCCTGGCATATAAAGATGGGCTTCCCATGCTGGATGGCCTTGACCGAGCGTACCGAAAAGCTCCTTCCGGTGCGGGTGCGCTCCACCTGATACAGAACAGGCACAGTGGGGTCCCCTGGAAGCCAGAAGAACCTGTTGTAAGCCCCCATTTGTCCCAGCCAAGGAACCCTGGTGACAGTGAGAATAATATAATCCAACCCCCTGCCCATTGTATCCCACAAATAGCTGCCCCATCTTTTCTTAAAAGCTTTTGGCAATAGGACAGCAACTTCAGGAGGCAGGGTATCCCACCACCTGGTCTCACAATCAGGAAAATCTGCCTCATTTCTTTTTGAATATCATAATGATGTATTATTATCAGCATTTGTCATTGATAATTTTATGGTTCCGGTATTTTACTTGTTTACACTCCTTTCATTTTTCTTCCTTTTTATTATGGTAAGCCACAAGTAAGAAATAAATTTAACAAATAAGTAAATTATAAGCAGAGCAGTTCCCAGCAGCACCCTCCTTTAAGTCTGACGGGCACCCTTGCTGGGCCTCCCACCCCTCCCTCTCCAGAAGCTGTTAATTACCTGCCCTCACAAAGTAGCAATGGAGCGAATGGACTTCCAGGTCGTCCGTCACGGCCTTGGCTGCTGCCACCAGTGCCTGGCCCACTATCTGCCCTCCAAAAAGACGCTGCGTGACCGGCACCCAGTAGTGCCTTCCCCTAAGGAGAAAAGAAGAGGAGAGTTATAGCTGGCAATGGCCGCCTCCTCGGGGGGAGGTGGGGGGGGGGCGATGCAGGCTGGGGAGTCGAGTGGCTGCCCCCAAGCTCCCTCTGGTGCCAAGATCCAAGGCCAAATCCTAAGGCCCAGCCTTCCGCCTCCGTGGCAACATTCAGAGCCTGGGACCAGACTGGCTGCTTGTCCCCATGGATGAGGCGGCCACCCCACTGTTGGTTCACGAGGTAGACACAGAGCGGCCACCTCCAACACTAAACAGGGAAGCCTCTGGGCAGGGTGACTTCCACAGCTGCAGGCAGGCAGGAACTTGACAGGTCGAGCCCCAAAGGTGCTTTTCCAAAAGGGAACTGGACTTTCTAAAGAAACCTTTTAAGGAAGTGCTGTTGCCTCTTGAAAAAGCACCTTTGGGACAACCATGACCTGGATGACTGAGCATCTCCACAGACACTCGACAGGTCGAGCCGCCTCCTCCCCCTCCCCCCCCACAGCCCAGTGTTTCTCAACCTCGGCCGCTTGAAGAGGGGTGGACTTCAACTCCCAGAACTCCCCAGCCAGCCCCCTCCCTCTCCAAGCGGCCAGGGTCGAGAAACACCGTCCCAGCCACTTCGGCGGGAGGCCCTGGCGGCCCCGGCCCCGCTGACCGGAAGAGGTCCACGTCCAGAGGCTCCAGCTGCAGGACGCTGGTCAGCAGGACGCTGCGCAGGTCCCCCGCCGGCTCCGGCCCCTGCCCGGACTCTGGCGCCTTGCCGGCTCCCCTGGAGGACGCCATCTTGGACGGTCACGTGGCCGGGCCGGTGCGGAAGCGCTCTCCCCTCGGTCGGCTCCCGCACTTCCGCTTCCGGCCAAACCAGGAAGTTCGTCCAAACGCCTTCAAATGAGTTGGCTCTCCTGAGAGATTGCATGAGAATTTTTTTTTTTCTTTCTTTCTTTCTCTCTTTCTCTCTCTCTTTCTTTCTTTCTTTCTTTCTTTCTTTTCTCTCTCTCTCTCTCTTTCTTTCTTTCTCTCTCTCTCTCTCTCTCTCTTTCTCTCTCTCTCTCTCTTTCTTTCTTTCCTTCTTTCTTTCCCCTTTGCAATCCTTTCCCCCTTCTTCCTTTCTTTTTCTTTCTTTCATTTTCTTTCTCTCTCCCTCCCTCCTTCCCTTCCCTTTTTTCTTTCTCCTTTTTTTCTTCTCTTTCTCCTCATTTTCTTTCCCTTTTCTTTCTCCCTTTTTCCTTTTCCTTTTCCTTTCTTTTCCTCCCTTTTTCCACAGGCATCCAGGGGGAGTGGAAGCAACGGCCCCTGAAGAACAAGGGGACAAAATCCAGGCTTTTGGAGCTGGGAAATCTGTTTTTGCAGAAAGGAGGACAGAAAGAGCACATCTCCTCCCTTAAGATAATTGTTAACATTTATTTATTTATTTATTTATTATTTAAATTTATATACCGCCCTTCTCCCGAAGGACTCAAGGCGGTGTACAGCCAAAAATAAAAACATAAAAATATAAAATTTAAAACAACTTAAAAATATATTAAACAAATTTGGACTGTGACCTGCAAAAGGAAGGGGAGAAAGTCGCTGGGAAGATTCTTAATTGGTTTTCTGAATATTTTGTTAACAGGCTAGGTAACATCTTCAGTGGCTGTCAGTGTCCCTGTTCTTCTGTTTATAAGGTTCTTAATCCCCAGAATGTCAGAGAGCTCCCAGGTTCCTCTTTAGCTTCTGAGCAATAAAATTGTATTTTTCCTCTGTCCCCATCAGTACATGCGGTTCAGGAAGTCTGACAAGCCGTAGGAGGCAACATGACCTGACCTGCATAGGGCAGAAATTACATGACATTTCACAGGACCTCTCTGTTTTAACATGTGCCTTCTTAAGGCAAGATGTGATAGCAGTGAGGTTTGCAGTGTATGGAAAACAATGTGGGATCTAAGCTTGACAAACTTTGGCCAAATCTGGTCCACTGCCCTTGGTTTAGGCATCATTTCCCAGCTTTTCTCCTTATCTGCTGTTAAAGAAACTGCATATTTTAAGCAGAGCTTTGGCCTGAGGCTTTGCTGGGTGCAGATGCCAGAAGCCTACAGCAGCACTGCCTTCAAATCTTGCTCAGTGTCAGATGCAAGCAAGCAGAACCACTTGTGAACAGTCTCAAGGGCAGCTTGATTGTTAGTTATCTATGTTACAAGAATCTCACTGGAGTGACTGCATTCCCTTGAGAACTATCAGATAAGGCTTCAAGGATTCTCAGAGGGGTCAGGCTTTCTGCAGTGGAAGGACTCTTAAACTGGGCTCCCTCTTGCCACCTTCCCCCAGTCTAACTGGAGAATCTACCACATTCCACGATGTGTTTGGAGAATAGTGTTCCTCAGGGCAGCAGTTGGGCTTCCAAAGAGATTATTTGGGGAGGACAGTGTTAGCTGGCTGTTAACCAGGGGTGGGTTCTACTTACCTTTACTACTGGTTTGCAATGAGATTGTGTGCACTCATGGGATCCAGGCAGCGCACCCCCATTCTGCGGGGAAAAAATCCCCTTCCATAGAATCAAAAAGGCTGGGAGGCCACTGAATTAAAACTTCTTTATTTATGTATACAACACTCAAAAAAGAGAGGGGGTGGAGAATCACTTTATATACAGTTCAAACATCTGGTGTTTTTGGAATAACGTCTTTTATTGCTTAGTATCATTTAACATATCTTTGATGCAACATGTATGCTCAGTAACTTTAATATGTAACATTTCATGGCATCCCGTGATAATCTTAGTATGATCTTGCTCACACTCGTCCTATTCAGGAGGCGTGTTTCCCCCATTAGGGTGAGTCCCAGCTGCTGTGATCATACATATTCTTCCCAGCCTGCCAAACCCAGGGAGGAGGTAGCCTGGCCCTTGGCAGATCTCTGGAGATGGTTATCAGCTTTCTGAAGAGGTGGCAGCACCAGTTCCCTCCCCCTGAACAGGTGTAATGGTGAGAGGCAATCCTCTTTTGCCCAGAGTGCCAACTCCAGTCTGGGTAACAATAACAGTTGGAAGAGACTTTGTAGGTCACCTAGTCCAAACAAGGAATAAGGGATGGAAACTGGAGATTCAACCTAGAAATCAGGAGGAATTTTCTGACCGTGAGAACGATCAACCCATGGAACAGAAGTTGCCTTCGGAAGTTGTGGGAGCTTCATCACTGGAGGCTTCCAAGAAGAGACTGGACTGCCATCGGTCAGAAATGGTGTAGGGTCTTTTGCTTGGGTGGAGGGTTGAACTAGATGACCTTCAAGGTCCCTTCCAACTCTGTTGTTATTACCAGTATTATTATTATTATTATTATTATTATTATTATTATTATTATTTAATCTTTAGTGAGATTCACAGCCTTTGAGGCTGGTTAATAGCTCAGCAGCTCGAGTCCTAACCAAGGACCTAGGAACTGTTAAGGTATCGTCGGAGGATGTAAGCTGTTCCGAGTAAGGTGGTTTTTTGTAGAGTCAAAATGTTCAAGTCCGGCAAATTTAGAATTTCTAAATAGCGGGGTAGCCCTTTGGGTATTGCTCCGAGGGCTCCAATTACAATCGGGACAACACACGATTTCTTTTTCCACAGTCGCTCAACTTCAATTTGCAAGTCACGGTACTTTGTGATTTTTTCTTGCTGCTTATCTTCAATCTGTGCATCACCAGGTATTGCAATGTCAATGAACCATACTTTTTTCTTTTCAACTACTGTTATGTCAGGTGTGTTGGGGACCAAGTGCCTGTCAGTCTGAATCCTAAAGTCCCACAAGATCGTGAGTTTCTCATTCTCTAAAACTTTCTCAACCTGATGTTCCCAGTGGTTTTTGCTGTACTCAGATCCAAATTTCTGGCACAATTTCCAGTGATGATGATGATGATGATGATGATGATTAAACATGAAACTCAGTCAACTGAACATTCAAAAATGCATCACAAATACGATTGACTGGTGCTAGTGGTTGATACGGGTTGCTGCCAGCGTCCTAGGTATCAACCAAGTACCCTTTTAAGATGTATGATGTTCCAAGTAGCACAGTTTTTTGCAGTTCCGCTGGTGTTATTGCAGGAAGCTGCAATTTGCTGATGTTATAAAATTATATAAAATTGTTATAAAATTCTTGGACATGGTACCTATTATTATGGTTATTATTATTATTAACTTCATGAAACATGAAACATAGTCAACTGAACATTCAAAAATGCATCACAAATACCACTGACTGGTGCTAATAGTTGATGTAAGTTGCTGCCAACGTCCTAGGTATCAACCAAGTACCTTCTTAAGATGTATGATGTTCCAAGTAGTGCATTTTTTTGCAGTTGAGCTGGTGTTATTGCAGGAAGCTACAATTTGTTTATGTATCTTATAAAATTCTTGAACATGATACCAAGTGCCCCGATGACTATGGGTATCACTGTTACATGTTTCATCCATAGCCGTGTAGTTTCGATGGCCAGGTTGCGATATTTCATGATTTTTTCCAGTTCTTTTTCTTCGACTCTGGCATCACCTGGTACTGCAATGTCAATAAATTGTATGTTTCGCTCGGCTGTCCGAGGCGCCCCTCTTCTTCACCTGGCCCTACAAGACAGGTTCGGTCCAAAGACCCATCGGCCGCAGCTCGTCAGTCAGGGTTTTCGCAGGGCTCATCAGAGCTTGGCTCAGTGCTGCCCCCTGGTGACACCTCAGCAGAACAACAGGGCTGGTCTGGGCCACCTTCGATGGAACCCTGAACATGGGAAGGGCATCTGCATCTATTGGCTACAGTCAGCTAAATTGTGGTCTGGCACCTTACATGAAGTGTTTACTCATTTATTTAAAACATTGCTACAGTTGCCTATTTTACAATAAACTGCGGGCAGCTCCCTGTCTCATCAAGTCCGGGTCCCCCAATTGTTTCTAAGCTGGGGAACATCTTCCTTGAGCCCATGTGTGGCTCCTGGGAAAACGGCACCCGGGGGACCCAGCTGGCTCCTGAACCAGGCTCAGTCGGGACTCCCCTGCTGATCTGCGCCACCACCCAGTGTGTGGCAGGTTTTCTACTACGGTGCCTGCTTGCTTGTTCCTTCCAAAAGGAAGAGCCTGCGGACTTCTCCTTGGTATTTTGTTTTTATAGGCAAATTTTGGCAGCCAGAGAAATATTCAGAGCTGCCTGGCCCGGGAGGTTGGCCCTTTTGTTTTCCGTGGTTTTGATGAAAAAGGTTTTTAGGTGGGACAGGCAACCGGGCATCGTAGAGTCTGAACGGACGGACACTTCGGGTGCATTGCCTTTCAGAACCGCACCTCTGGAAAGAAGATCCCCCAGAGCAGAGTTTATTCGGTTTGGGGGGCAAGCAAGCCAGTTCTCGGCCGGCGACACAGCCCGCAATGGCCTTGGCTGCTTTGCGGTCTTCGAAAGCTGGGAAGGGGGGCTTTCTGCGACTGTGTTTCCAGGACTAGGAGGTTGGACTAGATGACCTTTAAGGTCCCTTCCAACTCTTAGTTTGTAGGGTAGAGGACAGGCAGCGGCCCAAAGCCCCGGCTCTTATCCCCGCGAAGGGCCCCAACCCCGTCCCTTCCTTTCGCGATGGCTCGCCTGGAGCGGTGGGTGCCGGGCTGCCCGGCCAGCCGCGCCCCTTCCCCGCGCGGTTCCTCCCGCAGAGGCTGCCCTGTGTCGGCCGTTCTGCTTCCTCGCCCGGTTTGGGTTTCTCTTTATTCGCTCCATAAAAAGCGGAGGATCGCGCAGCCCCGGCTCCCTCTGCTCCCGCCGATCGGCTCTCCTGGCCAACGGGGGGCGAGGCAGCAGCTGCCCAGCCGCCCTTCGGGGACCCGGCCAAAGCCTTGGCACAGGGACCGGGACGGTGGGGGGGCTGGTGCCGGTTTAGGACACGCGTCTCTCGGCCCCGAAGTCTCCCAGCCGTCTCGCCGCCACACGCGGCCGATGCAGAGGGTCGCGCGAAGCCCCCCCGCCTCGCTCCCGGCTCCTTGGCGGACGAGCGGCGCCTGCCAGTCCCGCCCGCTGAAGTTTGCCCGTCGAAGGAGGGGGGGGCGGACTCAGCCCGGGGCTGGTGGGTGCCGAGATGGGCGGCTGCTCCGAGCCGGCCAAGGCTTAGGAGGCATCCGCGGGAGACCCGGTGCTGGGGCAGCTCAGGGCTGGAGGCTGCAATGCTGGCCATTTCCACAGATCTGAAAGCTGCCGAGGTTGGATAGCCGCGATCTCCCGTCTCTCCCTGGAATTCCCCCCGGAAACGCCAAAATGCAAGGGATGTTTTTGTGAACCCCCGTCTGATGCCCATTCCCCACCCCGGCTCACCAAGATGAAAAGACCTCGCAGGCCTTGGGAAGGAGGCAGCCAGCACAGGTAAGCCTTGACTTATGACCACAACCGAAGCCAAAATTTTTGTTGCTAAGTGAAACATTTGTCAAGTGAATTTTACAACCTTTTGTGCCACAGTTAAAGTGAATCTGCAGTTGCTAAGTGAGTCACACGGTTGTTAAGCGAATCTGCCTTCCCCATTGGCTTTGCTTGTCAAAAGTCACAAAAGGGGATCACATGACCTGGGGACACGGAAACCGTGGTAAATAGGAGTCAGTTGCCAAGCATCCCAATTTGGATCAAGTGATCACAGGGATGGTGCATGGTTATAAGTGTGAAAAACAGTCATAAGTCAGTGCTGTTGTAACTCTGAACATTCACTAAATGAATGTAGAAACTTTGGAAACCTTGCAGGGAAGAGCAACTAAGAGGATTAAAGGCCTAGAGACTAAAACATACGAAAAACGGTTGCAGGATTTGGGGTTTGGCCAGTCTGGAGAAAAGAAGGACCAGGGGGACCTGACAGCAGTGTTACAATATTTGAGGGGCTGCCCCAAAGAAGGGGGGGGCAAGCTATTCTCCAAAGCCCCTGAAGGCAGAACAAGAAGCAACGGATGGAAACTCATCAAGCAGAGAAGCAACCTATTTCTAGAGAAAGACCCTGACAGAACAGTTAACCGGTGGGACGGGTTGCCGTCAGAAGTTGTAGGTGCTGGTTTTGAAGAAGTTTGCACAGCCATTTGTCTGAAATAGTAGAGAGTTTCTTATTTGAGCAGGGGGGCTGGACTGGAAGACCTCTGAGCTCCCTTCCAACCCTGTTATTCTGTTATTCTGCTTCAACCGCTCCACCTGATCTGCTGTTTCAGCCAGACCTTCCGGCTGCTGGTCAGACACACCTGAGCTGTGCTGAACTCAGAAGGAAGCTCTCTGGAATCATGGTTGCCCCAAAGGAGCCTTTTTTTTCAAGAGGCAACTGGGCTTCCTTGTTTTTCTTTGAAGACATTTCGCTTCTCATCCAAGCAGCTTCTTCAGCTCTGACTGGATGGAGGGGAAGGGAAGGATTTATATGCAACTGTCTGCAAGGAGTATAAATCCTTCCTTTCCCCTCCATCCAGTCAGAGCTGAAGAAGCTGCTTGGATGAGAAGCGAAACGTCTTCAAAGAAAAACAAGGAAGCCCAGTTGCCTCTTTTTTTTATTTATTTGATTTATATGCCGCCCTTCTCCGGAGACTCAGGGCGGCTTACAATGCATTAAGCAATAGCCTTCATCCTTTTGTATATTTATACAAAGTCAGCTTATTGCCCCCACAACTGGGTCCTCAATTTACCCACCTTAGAAAGGATGGAAGGCTGAGTCAACCTTGAGCCTTGGTGAGATTCGAACCTGCAGTAATTGCAGGCAGCTGGTCTTAATAACCAGCTTAATAACAGGGTGCCTTAGACCACTGTACTACCAAGGCTCTTGAAAAAAAAAAAAAGGCTCCTTTGGGTCAGAAGGAAAGGATTTGCAGCAGGGAGGAGTGACCCAAAGGAGGAGGGGGGGACTTCCAGCTGGGGGGGCTGATCCTGATGACCAGTCGGAAGTCTTGAGAAGTTCCCAGGATGAATCGTTGGATAAATATCTGATACAGGTAATCCTCAACTCACAACCATTTGCTTAGTGACCGTTCAAAGTTACAACGGCACTGAAAAAGTTACTTATGGTCTGTCCTCACACTTATGACTGTTACGACAGCATCCCCATGGACCAATCACCACACCTTGGGGAGTTGGCAACTGGCAGGGAGGTACGACAGTTGAAGCCTCCTGGAGTCGTGTGATTTGTGACCTTCCCAGCCGGCTTTTGACAAACAAAGTCAATGAGGGAAGCCAGATTCGCTTAACAACCACTGATTCACTTAACGACTGCAGTGATTCGCTTATCATGGCAAGACAGCTCATAAAATCAGGCGTGGTTCACCTAACGGCCACTTTTCTTAGCAATGTAAATTCTGATCCTAATTGTAGTCGTAAGTGGAGGACTACTTTAGCGTGTTTTCTAACCCCCGAGCTGAGCCAGGGCAGCCCCAGAGGGATTCACCCGTTGCTGGGCTGGCTGACGGACGGACTGGGCCTTCGGTTCAGGTGGGGGCATAATGGGAAGATCCTCTGTTTCTTTCTCCCTCTCTGGCCCCTCACAGAAACTTCTTTCTTTGGTAAAAGTGGTGGGATTCTATGGGATGCAATCCTGTCCCTGACAGACGGATGGGCTTCGCTGGTGGGGAGGAAGGGGAGCAGCAGCCAGTCGTGAAGGACAGTCGCGAGGCTCCCCCCTCGTCTCTGGGCCAGAGCACCTCCAGCTGGGCAGGGAAGGTTTCCTCCGGCCTTCGCCTCCTGCTCATCCCCCCCCCAAGTGGGGCCTCTGGGGACCCCTTGCTAGCAGTCTCCCTGACTGGTCCGTGCCTGCTGATCATTCCTGGCCCCAATCAGAGGATGGGGGGCTCCCAGCAGCCCTGCATGGAGAGCGGCCTGGCAACGAAGGGCAAGCAGGGGCAGGACCGGTCGCAGGGAGGTCAAGCCAAGCCAGCTGGGAAGGGCTGGCATGAGCAGCCGAATTGGGGCGCTGGGTCAGGGACACGAAGGGCAGCAAAGGTCCAGTTTTTTCCATTCCTTTATGTCGGCTTCTCAACCCCCCTCATCGCCCACCCGAGGGAGTCTCTGGCTGCTACTTCTCCAGCTGGGCCAGGAAGAGGGGCAGGAGGCTCCGGTGGGTCGCTCGCCTGCGCTGCCGGTCCCTCTTGCAGGAGGACCCCAGGCGCTGGAAGGCCCCCCACTGCCTCCTCGGGGCCCCTTCCTCTGGGCCCTCGCTGGGGTCCAGGTTCTCTGCCATGAAGCACTGGGCGGCATGGATCATGTCTTCCTCACGCACACCGGGCACGGGGACGGTGGGGATGCCCGCGATCATCATGGCCAGGGTCAGGATGCAGATGTTGGGGGGCCAGGGCAGTCTGGGCTGGGCATCCCTGTCTCCATTCAGCTTGGTCGACATCACGAAGACCCCCCCGCTGGGCAAGAAGCCCCACTGGGCCAGGGCAAAGTCCCCGCCAGAGCTCAGGGGCTGCTGCTGTGGGGGCTGCGGGGGCCCCGTGGGGAGGTAGAGCCACCGCTCGGCCGGGTGCTCCAGCGGGAACTCCTGGGCCACGTTCTGGAGGGGGAGCCTGCAGCAGGAACCCTGAGGGGGCTCCCAAGGGTCCGTGCTCCCCTGCTGGAGGGCCCCTGGGGCCAGGCACGACTGGGCGAGGCTGGGCACCGAGGGAAGCCGCGTGGCACCGCCCTGCAGAGGACCCGTCTGCTTGGCCTGCGGTTTCCTTCGCAGGAGCCCCGGGGGGCACGGGATGCCAGCTGAAGGAGAGGCCTCCCGTGGCACCTGGGCAAAGGGGCTCAGCCGACTCCGTGGGGCCTCTCTGGACTCGCTGCTGCTGCTGCTGCCACTGGCGGTCGGTTCTCCTGTTCAGGGGACAACATGCCCGCTTGAGAGTCTGCCCTATTTTCTGCCGATGCAACAACCAAAGGGGGTGAGGGCAGCTGAAGGATAATCCCCCCCCCTTTCAGCAGGTCAGGCCAGAAAGGGGGAGCCCAGACCCCTGGGCACTTCTGGGCACAAGCAGAGTTTTCACTCCCTGCAACTTCTCTTGCTCAAACCTCTTCCTCAGAGGAACCAGGAACCACCAGAGGCCTTTTCTGTCATTTGCACCCACTTAGTTGCCCACCTCGGGAGCTGGCAAAGAGCGTAAGAGGCTCAGTGTGGGGTGCCCCACTGGAACAGCCATTACTCCTCAGCCTGTGAGCCCCGGAAGAGCAGCAGAGCCCCACTGAATGCTGACAGAATGCCACTCTCCTGGGTGAAGTTGGATGGGCATGGCTTGTGCCAGCTGGGCCCCATCAGGGATGTTTCTGCCCATAAGGAATACTAAGGGATATGGAGGCATCCGAGCAGATTCTGCTCCCCAGCTGCCTTGGCAGACCGGATCTTGGACAGTTGGAGAACAGCTGCTTTCTCTAGGACAATGGACTATATAGAGAAGGGGCCTTAGAGACCATGTAATCGATCCCCAATACCCAGCCAACAGCCCCTCCTTGAAAATCTCTTGCAGGGAGGAATCCACCCCTATTTTAGGCAGGATGTGCTACCAGTTAGTCTCTCCCACAGCCAACGAATGTCTTTTAATATTCATTTTCCTTTATTTTCATTCTGACCCACTGGTCCTCCCCCTTCTCCTCACCAGTCCACCCACCCACCCACACTCACACACACACCCCAGGCTGCTCTTTTGCAAGCAAAATAGGGCCAGCCTCTTCAAGTGCTTCTGAGGAGGGTTGGTCCCCAGTTCCCTTTTCTCCTCTAACCCTCCCAGTTTCTCCAGCTATAATGGTGGCTTCCCAGGCTGACAAGGATTTAGAAAAGGGTAAAATACCCCTCATAAAAGGGGGGGGAGTTAAACTGACTCTTTAAACATCTGTGGAGATTCTCCATCCTGCTTGTTCCAAAGGTGCTTTTTCCAAAAGGCAACTGGATTTTCTTGGTGTTTTCTTTGAAAACGTTTCGCTTCTCATCCGAAAAACTTCTTTATTTCTAACTTCAGAATTCCCTGAAGAAGCTTCTTGGGTGAGAAATGATTTCAAAGAAAAAGAAAGAAAAAGAAGAAAGCCGTTGTTTTTGGAAAGCACCTTTTGGAGACGGCCTCCCTTCTAACCCTCCCCAGTTCCTCTGGGTCTGTGATGGTGGCTCCCCAGGCTGACAAGAATTCGGGAAAGGGTACAATAACTCCCACTCCCCCCATAAACCCTCTGTGCGGCGACCGGACCCATCTGGCTGCCAGTTCAGGGAAAAGCAGCGAAAGGGGAAAGGATCCCACCCAGAGATCTTTTGCGCTTCGGTTGTCCTGGAGGGGAGCTGGTGGGGTGGCCGGCTGCTGCTTCTGCTCCGTCCCTTTCTTAGCCAGTCTGGCTAAAGAGACTTAGGAAAGAAGTTCTACTCAGAGGTCAAAACCCCCAACTCTGCCCCTTTGAAAAGAGCAGAGCCCGGCAGGGCACAGGGGGGTCCACGCCCTCACACCAGCCCGGTCATCTGTGTGGCTTGTCTAGATTGCCCTGATCATGCAACTGGAGATGGCTGAGGCCTGTCTCTGCAGCGCCCCACGCTCTGCTCAGGATCCCCATTTCCAGGCCCTTCTGGCACAGCTGCCAAGCCAAGTTCAAATTGTTTGGGGGGGGGACAGTAATACCTTGGTGGGAGGGTGCAAAGGAGGCCGAGGAAGCTTTTTCCAGGCCCCCACAAAACGCCATCATCTGTGCTGCAACCTGGTCAGCGCTGCAGTGCCAGTGCTGTCCTCTGGCCACCCCGAGTGCCCCCCCATTCTAGAACCAGCATCACAGGGTGTGGGCCTTATGTCACACAGGGCCACTGAGGTCTCTGCTCTGGTGGTCAGGTGGCCTGAAGTGACTGGGACCTCCGTCCCCTCCCCCAACCCAAACCTTCCTCAAGAGGCGCTGTTGACACCTCAGGATTTGGTCATTCTGATGATTGCTGTAGAGTCACAGGTTGAAGTGAGAGAGATAAAATCCAGGCCTCCGCAGGCCTTCCGAGTTGTGGAGACCTTGATAAGGGAATCACAAGCTTATAGCTGAACCTGTGAGCATAACCACAAGATGCGTGTAGAAGAATTTTTATAACATCTGTAATTCCTTAATTCCTGTAAGCAGTCTTCCTCTTATGCAATCAAGAAACCTATTTAGGGCGTGCCACGTTTTTCAACTTTTAATTTCCAAACATCAGGGGTGCTCAAAAGTTGTAACATGCCTTGGGGATTGAAAAGATATTCTGGTTGCTTTAATACAATGTAGATGTGCTTGGTTAAGTAACTACATAAATATAGTAACTTTTTAACATTTTGTTTGTTTCATATGTGCTTGCTTAAAATTGCATTTGGGGTTCTCCCAGCCTTATGGGGGGACCCACCTTTGTCCGGCACTGAAGAAATGTGTGACTAAGAGAGAGCACCTGGGCTCTGTTCGTGCTGAGCCACAGCTGGCCCTGGCCTGTCAGGGGGAGCCCAGCCAGGGTCTTCCCTGGTGACTTAGAGAAACTGGGGTTCTAAAGTCTGGAGGTGCTACAGAAATATCCTCACAAGCAGAACAATATCCTTTCCTTGAGACTGTTTTTATTGAACACTCATGGCTGCCACAGATCCTGCTCAGATTTACATGCGGGAAATTCTCGCCCTGACCACAACGGGGCACTGCCCTCGTGTGGCACCTTCTGGGCTGCTCCGGGGGCACCAAAGGTTCCCCGGGTTCATTTGGGAGCGCCCCAACAGAGGCTTCCCGTTGCTTGACATTCACAAAATCGGCGGCTGCTTCCTAGGCATTTGCAGAACCAGCCCTGTCCGGAAAGACCCGCCAGGCAGGTGAGGCAGGTGTGCCGGGCCAGGTGCTTCATTCGTATTTGCAGAGGTCCTTCAGCAGCGGAGGCAGGTTCAGCCCGTCAATGGCCAGGCGGTGGCTGATGTGCTTCTGGATGGCCGTGCGGCAGAGAGTCTGCAGGGAGGGCACTGGCGGGAGGGGGAGAGGAAGGTGAGGATTAGACCAACGTAAGTGCCCAGAGATGCAGACCCTCTTAAACTAGCTTAAGAGGCGAGGGTTAGACCAGCATTAGTGTGTCCTTGTGCCCATCCTGGAAAACTCGTTTAAGAGGTGAGGATTATACCTACATAAGTGTGCAGAGATAACAGATTCTCTTAAACCAGTTTTAGAAATGAGGGTTAAACCAACAAAAGTGTGTCCTTGTGCAGACCTAGTTAAAGCAGCTTAATACATGAACTAAACCAACATAAACGTGCCACTAACCCAGCTAAACCAGGTTAAGACACGAGGATTAAACCAAGGTAAGTGTCTCCTTTGCGCAAACCAAGCTGTTCTGAGTTGCAGGAATTGTAAAATGCATCTTTGGGGCTTATTATTCTCAAGCAGCTGATTTTTGTGCGACAGAAAGCTAGAAGCTCTTGCTATTTTTTGTTCTCTAATTCCACCCACCACCCACCCACCCCGTACGAAACAAAACAAGAAAAGAGAGTTTGCAAACAATAGAAAAAGCAAAGTTGAGACTCTAGAAAGAGTGCAGAGAAGAACAACAAAGATGATTAAGTTAAACTATGACGAATGGTTAAGGGAACGAGGTATGTCTAACTAAGAGAAGGGACGGAATAGCAGTCTTCCAATAGTTGAAGAGGGGTCCTGAATGTGAGAAGAATTACTCACTGGAACGGCTTCCCTCCAGAAGCTGTGGGGGCTCCATCACTGGAGGTTTTCAGGAAGAGGCTGGACAGCCATTTGCCTGGAATGGTAGAGGGTCTGTTGCTTGAGCAGGGGGTTGGACTAGATGACCTCCATGGTCCCTTCCAGCTCTGTTATTCTAATCTAAAGGGGCACAGAGCCAATGGGGCACAAAGGAAGGCTTCCTCAGAGAAAGTGGGGGATGCCCTCTGAGAAGAAGGTTCACTCTGAAATTCTATGGCCATGGACCAGGGGGGGGTGTCCAACTTTGGCATCAGTGATGCTGGCTGGAGAATTCTGGGAGTTGAAGTCCACATATCTTCAAGTTGCCAAGGTTGGACCCCCACCCCCACCACTGCAGAGCAAAAGGGGGACGCAATCAGTCTGTGCTGGGGGGATCCAGCCAGAAGGCAGACAGCACTGGGAGGGGGGGGGCTGCCTAAAACTCAGAAGCACAAACGTAGCCTTGGAGGACTCCCCGGCCACCCAGCCGTCACTTGGCTTCAGGTTAATGGCCTCCTGTTCCTCCTTCCCTCCCACCCTTGACACATGGCAGGGGTTGCAGTGGCCCTCCTGGGGTCCCAGGGTCTTATCCCTCCCCCAGTGAGAGAAAGACATCACTTTGCAGAGTGAAAGCTGCTCCTGAACAGACATTGCCTGGCCCAGCACCATGGGTTAATGAGTCCTTTAGAGATGGAAGGAGTGCAACGCCTCCGGTGTGACCCAGTTGGGCTTATTCAACAGCCTCAGGAGAGCCTCCTGGGGCCCTCCGCATGGATTAGGGTTGCCTGTGGGCAGGTGTGTCTCCGTCATGGCACCTTCCATTCAGAGCAGCTGCTGCTCCTCAGCAGGTGTGGTCACCACGGAAGGATGCTGTGGGTGGGGGGATGCCAAAGGCCTTCAAGAGCCGGTCTCCTAGGGAGAAAGACCATCCTTGACAGCTGGAGTCCAGCCCTTTCCCTCCTCAGCAACCTCCAGATCCAGAGATAATCAAGGAGGGAAGCAACCTGGAATTAAGGAGAAACTTCCTAACAGGGAGAACAACGATTAACCAGTGGAACTGGTTGCCTCCAGAAGCTGTGGGTGCTCCATCACTGGAGGTTTTCAGGAAGAGACTGGACAGGCACTTGTCTGAAATTGTATAGGATTGCTCCTGGTTGAGCAGAGGGTTGGACTAGAAGACCTTCCAGCTCTATTCTGATTGAGTAATTGAGGTCTCTAACTGCTGATATGCTGCTCCTTCCCTTCCTCTTGAATTGGTCTCCTGGGAAATCCTAAATGATTCTTTCAAACTCCATCTGGAGCGCCCAAACTCAACCCCCCTTCCAGAAATTCGCCTGGAGATTGAAAAATACCACACAGCTGTTGTGTTGGTCCTGTTTATCCTGTGTAACTTTATCCCTCAGGAATAATTTCTAAAAATAGTTTTATTAATCTGTTGTGGTAACAGCAACATCAAGAGGACTGTGGCACCTGGGAAAAGGAGCAAATACAGGATGCCCTGAAACAGTTTCCATGAAACTGTGTGCCACAGTAAATCTCCTATACAATACAGCACACTATAAAAAAGATGTTGAGGCTCTGGAAAGAGTGCAGAGAAGAGCAACCAGGATGATGAGGGGACTGGAGGCTAAAACATACGATGAACGGTTGCAGGAACTGGGCCTGGCTGGTCTAGTGAAGAGAAGGACCAGGGGAGACAGGATAGCAGTCTTCCAGTATCTGAGGGGTTGGGGATCAAGCTATTTTCCAAAGCACCTGAAGGCCAGACGAGGAACAATGGATGGAAACTGATCAAGGAGAGATTCAACCTAGAAATGAGGAGGAATTTTCTGACAGTGAGAGCAATCCACCCATGGAACAGAAGTTGCCTTTGGAAGTTGTGGGAGCTTCATCACTGGAGGCTTTCAAGAAGAGACTGGACTGCCATCGGTCAGACATGGTGTAGGGTCTCCTGCATGGGTGGGGGTTGGACTAGATGACCTACAAGGTCCCCCAACTCTTGTTTATCTGTATCTGTATCCTGGATGTTGAGATGACACAAAATTGTCTAGATTCTTTCTTGCAACTGCTACAGAGAGATGGTATTTGGCATTTCACTTTTGCTCGAAATCTTTCAAGAATGAGAATAACAGTATATTAGAGTTGGAAGGGACCTTGGAGGTCTTCTAGTTCAACCTCAAGCAAGAGACCCTCTACTGTTTCAGACCAAGTGGTCGTCCAATCTCTTCTTAAAAACCTCGAAAGATGGAGCCCTCACAACTTCCGTAGGCAAGCCATCGATTAATTGTTCTCACTGTCAGGAAATTTATCCTTAGTTCTCCTTGATTAGTTCCCATTCGCTGCTTCTTATTCTGCCCTCAGGTGCTCTAGAGAATAGGTTGACCCCCTTTGTTATAGTTGAGGGGCTGCCACAAAGACAAAGGGCTCCACCTGTTCCCCAAAGCACCAGAAGGCAGGACAGGAAGGAACGGATGGAAACTAATGAAGGAGAGAAGCAACCTGGAATTAAGGAGACATTTCTTGTCAGTAAGGACAATTAACCAGTGGAACAGCTTGCCACCAGAAGTTGTGGGTGCTCAATCACTGAAGACGACTGGACAACCATTTGTCTGACAAGGTATAGGGTCTCCTGCTCGAGCAGAGGGTTGGACTAGAAGACCTCCAAAGTCCCTTCCAAATGTATCGTTCTATGTTCTTTGTGGCGACCCCTCAGATATTGGAAGAGTTCAATCATGTTCCCCATAGTCCTTCTCTTCGTTAGACTAGAAGACACACCCAATTCCTGCAACTATTCAAATCTGTGTCTTCACTTCCCAAGTACATACGTCAGTCCTCAACAGCAGACCTTCTTGGTTCAAATCAATCCTCTTCCTATTTACTATTTTACTATTTGCCCCCCCCCCATAGCCATTTTTTTCCTTCCTTTGGGACAAACGGTTGGCCATTAAGGATCCCCTCTTGTGGCCCAGCCAGTTGATGGGACAGGCACTTAGGTGAAGGTCCTTGCTAAGATTCCGTTAGGAGCCCCACTAAAAATAAGTGAAATGTATTTCTCAGCATTAAATATTAAGACCACTTTAAACTAAAACAGGTAAAATGTTGAGGCTGCAATGGGGCCATACCGAAAAGGAGGCGGAGGACAGGACAGGCGATGCTGCTCCTGGCTGTCACCTGCATTTTAAGGGAAGCAACCCACACCCTTAAACTGGGACACCCTGTCCTCTTTCTGCCTTGGGATTTGAGTGGTTCTGCAGCAATTAGCTCTGGAATGGAAAAATGGAACATAAGTGAGTCATCACGTTTTGGGAAATACTAGGCAATTAGAGATAAATGCGTTTCCTCCTTTCTAATTATTGTTTTATCCATTAATCATGTTGTTTGAAATTAAAGCCAATTCGATTAGTAAAACCATTGAAATAGCAAAGTGTGTTAAGACGCAGCTCTCTCTCTCCCTAACTCCCTCCAAGCAACACCCTGGGTGAGGCGGCTGGGCTCATCCACAGTCCTCGGGAAGTTTCTGTGGCCGAGTGTCAGCCGGATCTCCAGCTTGGGTGTTTCTTCAGCATGCTTGCTATTGGCTGCCGGGGGGGGGGGGGGGCTCGGGTATTTGGGATGGGGAAGTGAGCTGGTGTCCTCCCATGAGAACTGAAAGGGAGGTTTGCACCCATGAATTATGGCACTGCTGAGTGGAGTTGCTCACACTCCGTCAAGGCCAACCGTCCTGAGACTCCAGGAGGGAGAAATAACTGAAGAGGAGTCTTCCCATACCATCATACTGGATGTTGATTGGACTCTCAGTGCTGGGCCCTGTGGTGAGGGATTTGGGGTGACTTTCAATCTGTAACTTTCGTGCGTTTGGAATCAGATCTGGCCTTGCTTTTGCTACTACTTCAAACTTAGTAAAAGTACCTCTTCTCTAAATCAGTGGAGTTAGGGGTTTTCTTTCTTTTGAAGGGAGGCAGGCCTGACATTGAGTGACCCCGGATCCTGGACTCTCCAATCCCAGCCCAACCGCTTGTCAGAACTACCGTCTTGAGCTTCAGCCTCAGCCTCCCTTTATTAGATGCCAGTCGGCCACAAAGTATGGGAGGAGGGAATTGCTGTGCTCCAGGGGAACGGGGGGAACCGAAACTATGCATCACGCCGTCCTGAGACATCGACTCATCGCTCCAAAGCCAAAGGCCTGAAAGGGGAAGTACAAGGCTCACCAGCGCAGAGAAGAGCAAGAAAGAGGATGAGGGGACTGGAGGCTAAAAGATATGAAGAATGGTTGCTGGAACTGGGCAGGTCTAGTCTAGACAAAAGAAGGGTTTACATAAGGTTTACTAAACTGGATAAGCAAATACTATTATTATTATTTGATCATTAATGTTATTATTATATTATATATAATAATATAATTATATTACTACTACTTCTTAAAATTAACTGTACCCAGACAACACCCTGTTTATGTAATTGTTACATTGAATTGTTACATTGAATAAATTGAATTGTTTATGTTTAATTTAAAAAAAATTAAACTTGAGAAAAGAAGGGCTAGGGGTGACATAGCAGACTTCCAGTATTTTAGGGTCTGCCACAGAGAAGAGGGGGGGGTGTCCACGTATTCTCCAAAGTACCTGAAGGCAGGCAGGACAAGAAGCAACGAATGAAAACTAATGAAGGAGAGAAGCAACCTGGAATTAAGGAGAAATTTCCTAACGGTGAGAACAATTAATCAATGGAACAGCTTCCCTCCAGAAGCTGTTGGAGTTCCTTCACTGGAGGCTTTTAAGAAGAGGCTGGATAGCCATTTCTCTGAAATGGTGTAGGACCTCCTTGAACGGGGTCGGACTAGGAGACTCCGAAGGTCCCCTCCATCTCTTTGTTATTCTGTTGTTCCGATTAGGGCTAATCAGTCCTAAGGTACGTCAGGAGGAGGGAGCTGGTGGGTTGCTATGGGTGCCTGTGGAAGTTGGAAGGAATCCAGGGGTTGCTGGTGGTGGTTGCAGGTTACCCACAACTGAGTGGTGATAACAGGAGAGCCAGAAATGAGAGTCTGAAGGAAGCTCTGAAATGTTCTGAAGGAAGGAGATTCGGGGAGGGGGTCCCTTCCGGCGCAGGGCCTGAGCGGCTGGGTGGGAAGGAAGGAAGGGAGAGAAGACTGAAAAAGCAGCTGAGACCTTCGGAGACCCAGGAATGCGCGAGAAGGCTGTGGATGATGGGCATCTCCGAGGAAAAAGGCCTGTTTCCCATACATCGGGCGATTCCTGCCTGCGCCTGGCATCGGAAGGGCTGTCAATCTAAAAGCGTGATTAATCTGATTGTTTCTGATGAAAGACTGAGGGAATTAGTGGCGGAGGGAAGCGGGATCAGAGAGGAGAGAATGGGAGGGATTTTTGCTTCAGTGCATTGACCCCAAAATTTCTGATTTTAGGTGAGACATACATATGGTAAGTGATTTTCCCCACATTTTACAACTTTTTTTGCCACAATCATTAAGTGAATCACCGCAGATGACAAGTTAATAACCTGGTTGTTTAAATGAATCTGGGGATGTCCATTCAGTTTGCTTGTCAAAAGGTCGCAAAAGGGGATCAGGTGACCCTCCAGGACATATCAAAGGTCATAAATACGAGTCAGTTGCCAAGCATTTGAATTTTAATCATGCGATGTAGTGATTAAAGGTCGTAAGTGTGAAAAATGGTAATGTTATTTTTTTCAGTGCCATTCTAAGTTGGAACGGTCATTAAATGAACTGTTGTAAGTCGAGGACTAGAAGACAGCATACTCATCCAATCGAATAAATGGAAAGAAAAGTAAGGAAAAAAGGCTATGGAAGCTGCTGAGAGGCAGGAAATGCCCCTTCCGCAGAGGGCCACAAGGCCACGCGGGACGGAAGAGAAACCTGGAAGGGGTTTTCCTGAGAAAAGGCTGAAGGGGGGAAAGAGGTGGTGGGTGGAGGAAACAGCAGAGCAGGAAGACCTGCTGCCAAAAAGCTGCCCCTCGGGAGCTCTGAGGCCCTTCCGGCCTTGGGACGGCAAAGGATTCGCTTGTTAACCGTCTCTGGGAAAGTGCTTGGCTGAGAGGCCCCAGCCAGGGAGCAAAATGCGGGGGGAGGCCAGCCCCCCCCCCAGGCAAGAAGCAGGCAGGCCAGGTTTCTGCTCTTCAGGGGGCGACTATGAAGGTGGATTTAAACAAAATGTAAGATAACTTCTGAATACCACTGAATAAAATATTGTGTGAGAATATATGGAATCCCCAGAAGAGAATTATCTCTAGCTCAGGGCTGAATTGTGGAGTCCTTGGTGCTCTCTGAGCTCGGTGGTGTTCTTGTAGACGTTTTATTAGCCAACTAGGTTGCATCATCAGTGCTGGAAGGGAGTCTCATTGGCTCTCTCTCTCTTTCTTTCTTTCTCTCTTTCTTTCTCTCTTTCTCTCTCTCTCTCTCTCTCTCTCTCTCGTTTCCGCCTCAACTCCGCAACACACACACACCCCTCTTCTAGCACTGATAACCTCCCATAGCTGGGTCATGAAACATCATCCAGGAAACCACCAAGCTTAGTGAGCACCAAGGACGTTTTTTCATGCTGTTGTAACTTCAGTCACTAAACAAATGGTTGTAAGGCGAGGAATACCTGTATGGCACAGCAGATGTTGCTGAATTTCATCTCCCAGGATCCTTCACTCTGGCCATTCCGGCTGCCCCCTCCCCCATCCTGGCTTAGAGGGGAGAAATCAGAAATGATGTCCTTTCTCAGATACGCATGCAAACACTGTGAGTTAAACACTTTTGCAGTCCTGATCCCCAGATCTCACCTGTTCCTATTTTTAATTTATTTTTATATATATATATTTATTCTACCTGTTTTTAAAATTTCCACAGGGGTCAAAGCTGCATTAGTCTTTTGCAGCACAAATGTCACAGAGACTTGTGGCACCTTAAAGATTAACCAATTTATTGTCCCAGTAACTCTTTGTGGTTCATAGCCAGATTGTGATCCATAAAACTTTCCATCATCAGACACGGATTAATCTGCAAGATGCCAGAAGCCGTTGTGGGACCATGATAATCCCTAGTATTCCCAAATCACCTTCCCGCCCTCTAGAAGCACCTGGACCAGCCCTGCCCTTGCAATCTTTCCATCAAAGCCCCTGAGGAGGATGGTTCATCTCTGGCGTGGGTGGGGCAGCTTTACTGAAAGTCGCCTGACGAGCAAAGAACTTCCTGCTTCTGTTGTGCTGGGTGTCGGAGGAGCCTCACTGACAGCTCCTCTTCAGAGTTACACCACGTGACTTCCTGCTCCTAACATGAGTTTGGGAACTGGGCCTCCTTCCTCCAGGATGAAGACGACACCTAGAGAGAGAAAATGCCGGGTGCTGGCGGGGCTCTCCCTCCTCCAATGCATCCCACCCTCCCCTGAGCTAACTCAGAATAACGGAGTTGGAAGGGACCTTGGAGGTCTTCTAACCCAACTCCCGCTCTCTGCTCAAGCAGGAGACCCTAGACCATTCCAGATAAGTGGCTGCCCAGTCCCTTAAAAGCCTCCAGTGATGGAGCTTCCACAACCTCTGAAGGCAACTGGTTCCACTGGTTAATTGTCCTCATTGTCAGGGAATTCCTCCTTAATTCCAGGTTGCTTCCCTCCTTGTTCAGTTTCTGTCCATTGTTCCTGGTCCTGCCTCCTGGGGCTTTGGAGAATAGCTTGACCTCCCTTTTCCTTGTGGCAGGTCCTCCAAATCCTGGGAGGCTGCTGTCAGCTCATCCCTTTTCATGAAAGTAGACCTGCCCAATTCCTGCAACCCTTCTTTGCACTCAACATGGACCCCCCAGGCCTTGCCTGCTTCTAGCCGGCCAGCAGCCCCCCTGTGGGCTGGGTTAGCGAGGCGGGGCGATACCTACAGCCGTATTCCACCTGGATGAGTCGGACGCTCTTGGTGGAGGCGAAGACGTCGACCACGGCGTAGAGGGGCCGGGAGCCGGGCAGACCCCTGGCGCTGGGGCCCATGTCTTCCCCGTTGATGACGATGTGCATGTGGGCCGTCCCGTCGGGCTGCGGCGTGAAGAGCACCCCGATGCGGCTCTTGCGGGCCGTGGCCGGCAGCGCGTTGGCTCTGTAGAGCCCATCCAGGATGTGGCTGTAGCGGCCCGGGCGGCTTCGGCCCACCAGCTTGTCGCGGGGGATGCGGACTTGCTCGATGAGCAGGTGGGGGCCGGCCAGGAGCTCCCGCCCGCCGGCCGCCGCCTCGCCCACGCGGTTGTGGTGGCGGGTGATGGCGAAGACCCAGCTGTCGCCCAGCCGGACCAGGTCCGGGAGCGAGTACTCGGGCACGGCGGGCAGGGCGCGGGGGTCGCGGGCGGTCAGCCCCACGCGCAGGTGGCCGCACCAGCCCGCCTCCTTCTCCTCGACCTCCACCAGGAAGAGCTGCCCGGGCTCCAGCGGCCGGTGGCTGAAGCACAGCCCGTGCGCGAAGCTCTCCACGCGGGTGGCGCGCGTGCGGGAGGCGTCCAGGCGGACGTGGGCCCCGTGGACCCCGTGGAAGCGCGTGGGCGGGGGGCGCGCGGCGGCCATGGCGGATCCCCAGCCCCGCCGGCCCCGGCTATTGAAGGGGCGCCAAAGAGGGAGAGCGCGGCGGCCGGGCCGGGTCCTAGCGCCCGCCACTCCCGGGTGGGCAAGCCCGGCTCCCCCGCCAAAGCAGCCCGGACGCCCAGAGCGCTTCTGCCCGGCCCGCGCGGGGCTTCTCAAGCAATCAAAGGAGGGAGCGGCCTCCCCGCCCTCCTCCTCCTCCGCCCGATCCGCGGGGCAGCCGGGCTTCCCGGGGCTTCGCTCTCGGCCCAGGCCGTTCCGGGCCGCAGCCAAGGCGCGGCGGGGCAGCCGGACTCCGGGAGCTGTGCGGCCACCGGGCCAGTCTGGGCTGCGCCGCGGCAAAGACAGCGCCCGCCATCCCGCGGCGCCTGCGGAGCTCCTGGGGCGCACCGGGGCAGCGGCGGGGGCGGGGGGGGGCTCCGGGGAATCCCGGCCGCCGCTCCCCCTCCTCCCCCTCCTCCCCCTCCTCCTCCTCCTCCGGCTCCGCAGCGGGCGGGGCGAGGTGGCGCGCCGCCCCGATTGGCCGCTGCCGGCTCCGGGCCCCGCCCCGCCCGTCAAGTGACCGGGGCCCGGCGGGGAGCGGCAGTCACGTGCGCCCGGGTGCCGCCGCAGTCGCCGCCGCCGGAGCCCAGGAGCTGCCCACCCGTGGCCAAGTGAGCTCCGCCGGGGACAGCGCCGGAGGCTCCTGCCCGCCCGCCCGCCCGCCCTGCGCTTCCTTCCCCGCAGATGGCTCTGCCGCTGCCGCTGCTGCTCCTCCTGGCCGCCGCCGCCGCCGCCTGGTCCGGGCCGCCGCCGTCCAAGCTGGCGATCGACTTCCTGCCGGGGCTGCCCAAGCAGCCGGCCTTCGAGCAGTACACGGGCTACCTGAGCGTGGACGGCGACAAGCACCTGCGCTACTGGTAGGCGGGCGGCGGCGGCGGGCGGGCGGGCGGGCGGCGGGACGGGGCGGCCCTTCCGACCGCGGCTTCCTCTCCGCAGGTTCGTCGAGGCGCAGGACGCGGACGGGGAGAAGCCGCTGGTGCTGTGGCTGAACGGCGGTCCCGGCTGCAGCTCCCTCGCCGGCCTCCTGAGCGAGCACGGGCCTTTCACGGTCAGTCGCTCCCCCGGGGCCGCCGACGGGGGTGGGGCGGCAGGCAGAAGCTCTGGGGCAGCTTCCCTTGAGGGCTCCTGGGGCCGGCCGGCTCTTGTGTCTCTGGCATTTGTGAGGTCACACTCACCCCTGCAACTGGGGCCTCCCTTAGGAGGGGCTCTTGGGCCTTCCCAGGGGTCTTCACTGAGGAGGGTCACTTGTGCCCCTTTAGGTCCAGCCAGATGGGGCCACCTTGACCTACAATGAATATGCCTGGAATAAGGTGAACTTCCCCCCCCCCCAAAGCTTGGTTGGAGCATCTCCTGCCCTCCCCCCACCCAGAGGGCATGAGAGGCAGGGATGAGCAAACACCCCCTAAGCCCACCCCCCACCCCCGTGGAGCCTCACCCCTCCTTGTCTCCCTCCAGCTCGCTCACATCGTGTACCTGGAGTCCCCGATTGGCGTCGGCTTCTCCTACTCGGATAGCCAAGACTACCACACCAATGACACAGAGGTGAGTACTGGCCCTTGGCCCCTGCCTTCCCTGCCCTAGCCTAGCTGGTGCCTGGCATGTTGCTCTCTCTCCCCTCCCCGCCCCCCCCGGCAGGTGGCCCGCGTCAACTACCTGGCCTTGAAAGAGTTCTTCAACCTTTTTCCGGAGCATCTGCCCAAAGACCTTTACCTGGCCGGAGAAAGCTACGGCGGGATCTACATCCCCACCCTGGCAGAGTGGGTCATGCAGGACGCCAGCCTGAACTTGAAGGTGGGTGTGTCATCAGGGCCCTGTGGCCCTGGAGCAGACTCCCGGGAGCCTGCCATTAAATGGGCAGGTATGGCTGCAGGGCTGCCCAGGGGCATTGCTCCTGGCACTGGGCAGCTCTGCAGAGGTGAAGTGGCAAAACCAGAATGTCCCTCCCTGAGCCTCACGTGAGCTGCTCTCTTGGGGAACCAAAACCAGGATGTGGGCAAGCCTTCTCCATTTCCCTGCCATCGGGAGGGGGGGGGCAGCACCGGGGAGGACCTGACCGCCAACAGCAAGTCAACCCCTCTTGTCTTGGGCATTGGGGGGGGAGGGAAATGGTGGTGAGGGGCTGCTGGAGGTCACCGGACGTGTCTTTCAGGGCCTCTCGGTGGGCAACGGGCTCTCCTCCTACGAGACCAATGACAACTCCCTGGTTTACTTTGCCTACTACCACGGCCTCCTGGGGAACCGGTGAGCCTCTGCCCGGGGGGGGGGGGGGGGCCTGGGAAGGGGAGGGGCTGGCACTGCTGCCCCAGAGTCGGCTGAGGACCCTCTGCTTCTCCTCCACAGGCTCTGGGGCGACCTGCAGCGCTTCTGCTGCTCCGGAGGGAAGTGCGACTTCCACAAAAACCCAAATTTGAACTGCACGGCTGCTGTGAGTGAGGACTCTCTGCCTATTGAAGGATGGAGGGGGGGCGGGGGGAACCCCTTGAGGTCATCCGGCTCTCTTGTTCCTCCCAGATGTTGGAGATGATCCACATTGTGGACGAATCGGGCCTCAATATCTACAACCTCTATGCCCCCTGTGCTGGGGGGGTGCCGGGAAAATTCAGGTGAGTCCCTGGCGGTTTGCAGGCTGCTCCCCCCCTTTCCTCCCCCCCGCCCCCGGTTCCTTGTCTCCTGGTAGTGGCGGACAGGGCTTCCCCTGGGTGGAGGATGTGGGTGAGGGAGCCCAGGAAGGCTGCTCAGCCGTTGTCCCCCTGGCAGCTACCTGGACGGGACCATCGTGACTCACGACCTGGGCAACAGCTTCGTCTGGCACCCGGCCCGCAGCCTTTGGAGGCAGGTGAGCAGAAGCCGCTTGGGATGCGATGACGGCCAGGCTGGCCTGGACATGAGCCCTGCTGGGAAAGATGGGTTGGGGGCCTCCAAGGTGACCCTTCACTGGTGGGGGGTGGTCTCTGGGAACACCCAAGAATGGTCTCCTTCAGGGTGGGAGATTCTTTGGGGGACAAGAGCCATCTTGCTAGAAACGCCCGTCTGAAATGGCCTGAGAAAGCAGAGTGAAGGTTTCATGCGCTTCTGTGGGGGCCCCCATGCCCCCCCCAACTCAGGCGGCCCTGGATTTAAGACAGTTCCCCAGAACCCAGGAAGAGGAAGAGGAAGCAAAGGCTCTTTGGGCAACACAGCAGCTTTCCTCTGTCCTTTGAAGGCCTGAAAGCAGCTGAGGGAGGGAGGAAGGGAAGAATGAATGAATGAATGAATGAATGAATGAATGAATGAATGAATAATGACTGGTGGGTGAATAAATGAATGAGTAAGAGTGAGTGAATGAGTAAATGATTGGATGGTGAGTGAGCGAGTGAGTGAATAAATGCGTTGATAGGTGGGTGAGTGAATGAACAAATGAACTGAATGGATGGATGGGTAGGTAAGTGAATGTGGAAATGAAATGAATGGATGGATGAAGTGAAGGAATGAATGGAGCTGCCCCTTCATGGGTGGAAGCCTCCTGGAACAGCCGCTGTGCTTGGAATCCCTCAGAATCTGCTGAACCTGGGGGTGACCAAGCAGGTGCGACTGGACCCCCCCTGCATCAACACCACCGCCCTCACCCGCTACCTGAACGACCCTCAAGTGCGCCGGGCCCTGCACGTTCAGGACGATTCCCCCGCGTGGGAGATCTGCAGGTGAGGGGGGCCCCAGGGCAGCTGCTGAGGCATCGGGGCGGGGCGGGGGGGCTTCTGCAGGCCACCCCCTAATCGGGCCCCTTTTCCCAGCTTTGCTGTCAGCCGTGGCTACAAGCGCCTCTACTCCAAGATGAACGACCAGTACCTGAAGCTGCTCAGCACTGGGGTGAGTTGCTGGGGTCAGCAGTGGGGTTGCTGGGTGGGGGTGGGGGGTGACAGTGCTCCTTACTGTACTGCTCCGCCCCCCCCCCTTACTCCTGGTGGAGGGAGAACCAGGCTGGCCCTTCCTCCAGGTCCTTGTAATCCTGGCCGGCTTCTAGAAGAGAATAGACCTCCCCTTGGAGGTCTTCTAGTCGAGCCTATAATTGTCCTCACTGTCAGGGAGTTTCTCCTTAGTTCTAGGTTGCTTCTCTCCTTGATTAGTTTCCATCCGTTGTTCCTTGTCCTGCCCTCCGGTGCCTTGGAGAATAGGTTGAGCCCCTCCTCTTCTTTATGGCAGCCCCTGAGATATTGGGACACTGCTATGATGTCTCCCCTGGTCCTTCTTTTCTCCAGACTGGCCAAACCCAAATCCGGCAGCCGTTTTTCATGTGTTTTAGTCTCCAGGCCTTTGACCTGAACTTTTTCCAAAGTACCAACATCTTTTTTGTAATTTGTGGTGACCAAGATGGGTTGCAGGATTCCAGGGGGGCCTTACTGAGGTTTCATAAAGCGGAACTAATTCTTCATGTGATCTCTGCAGAAATACCGCATCTTGCTGTACAATGGCGATGTGGACATGGCCTGCAACTTCCTGGGGGACGAATGGTTCGTGGAGTCCCTGCAGCAGAAGGTGGGCTGAGCTGGGGAGGCTCTGGAGGGGAAAGGAAGCCCCTCGGCACCCCTGGTTCCAGGCTGGGTGGGGTGGGGTGGGGACCAAAACTGGCACCCCCTGCTCGTCTGCCCTACGCTGTGTCTCTTCGGAAGGAGCCCCTCGGTCCACCTCCTCCCGGTAGTCCTTGACTTAGAACCACAGTTGTTCAGTGAGGTTTGGCCCATTTTATGCTTTCCTTGCCACGGCTGTTAAGTGGATCGATGCCGTTGTTGAGCTAGTAACACGAACGTGAGGCGGACTAGGCTTCCCCAGGGACTCTGATCATCAGAAAGTAACCCGGGGACACTGCGACGGTCATAAGTATGAACCAGTTGCCAAGCGCCCAGATTCTGATCCCATAACCATGGGGATGCTGCAAAGGAGTCACTTTTTTCAGTGCTCTTGTAACTTCAAATGGTCACTAAACGAACTGTTGTAGGTGGAGGACTACCTGTGTGCAGAGCCACCTTGCAGGGAGGCATAGATGTTTAATAAATAAATAAATAATGCACAGAGGGGACTGACCACCCTGCAGCTCCTCCCCCCTCTGGGTTGGGGGACGCGTGGAAGGCGATGGGGCTCAGGGATTCTGGGGGGCACAGCCTCCTGCAGTGGGGATTCCTCGCCTAACTCCCCCTATGGCCCTCCCCATCGGGCCGGGCTGGGTGCTGCCTGCCCCTCGTCTCTGCTGCTCCTCTGGAAGCCCAGAGACCCTCACAGCTGCCCCCCCCCCGGTCCTCTTGCCCGCAGGTGGAGGTCACCCGGAGACCCTGGATCTTCACGGACAAGGACGGCCAGGATCAGATTGGGGGCTTCGTGAAGGAGTTCACCAACATTGCCTTCCTCACCATCAAGGTAGCGTGGGGAGGGGTCTCACGGGAGCAAAGCTCGCCCTCCCCTCCCAGGGTCTTAAGGAGGCTACCTGTCAACTCTCCCCCTGGTAAATGCAGCAAAAGGAACTCCTGGGATGTTATTCTACCAAGAGTATCACTTCACCGATAATTCCACGTAGGCCCAGGAGTAGCAACGCCAGTTCTAAAGTTTTCGCGCAAAAACCAGCATAGGTGAAATCCCCCTTTTCCCCTGGACCTCCCCACGGTCCATTGTCCACCAATCCATTGCCTTCATTTTGTTTAGGGAACAATCTGAGCGCCTCCAAGTTTTTTCCCAGCGTTCGACCTTGTGGTGTTGGGACTGTCTCAGGCTACAGACGGCTCACTTGCATTCCTCAATCCTCCCCGCTTCCCCCAAGCCTCCCATGCATTCCAATGCTTTCCCTGCCCCCTCCCCGTTTCTGCTGTTCCTGGCTGCGAGGAGGGGTCCATGGCGAGCCAGCCACGACACCCCTGTCGCTTCGTCTCTCCCTTCCACAGGGTGCCGGCCACATGGTGCCCACTGACCAGCCACGGGCAGCCTTCAACATGGTGCAGCGGTTCCTCACTCGGCAGCCCTTCTAAGCTCAGGAACAGCATCTTTCCTGGGGAGACCGGCCCCCTCCCGCTGCGGCGTGGCTGCAAGGAGTGGCTCCTGACCGGCCTTTGGTGGAAGCCTGGGTGGGTCCTCCGGCAGGGCCCCGTCTCCCCTTGCCCTTCTCTGCGCATTTGCACTGTCCTCAGGGAGGAAGCAGGTCCCCTCGCTGCCCTCCGGGGGGGTGGGGGGTGTTGGGACCATTTCTCAGCCTTCGTTCTGGCTGCTCTTGAAGGAGGAACTGGAGGTCAAGAGCAGCCACATTCTCCTTTCTGGTCCAAGCAAGCGATTAAACTGTTATTTTTCTAACGGAAAAGGAGCGGAGTGATATGTGGAGGAGAGGCTGCCCTGGCTGCAGAGCTGGGTCTGGGGGCTAAGGGTCTTCACCGGAGGCTTTGAAGAAGAGACTGGACAGCCATTTGGCCGGAATGGTAAAGGTCTACAGTAAAGGTGTCCAAGCTTGAGAACTTTCAGTCTTGTGGACTCCCAGCTATGCTGGCTGGAGAATTCTGGGAGTTGCAGTCCGCAAGTCTTAAAAGTTCCAAGTTTGGACTCCCCTGGTCTTAGATCTCCTGCTTGAACAGGGGTTGGACTAGAAGACCTCCAAGGTCCCTTCCAACTCTGTTCTTCTGTAATTATCCTCAGCCCTTCCCCTCTCTTCCCATCCTTCCCACCTCCAGCCCTGCCCAATGGGCTGCTCCCAGAAGCTGCTTGTGGGGAGGAACAGCAGCCAAGGAGTGTTTTCTCCAGGCAGCTGCAGCAGGTCTGACAGCCTCACCCACCTGCCAGCTGCCTGGGGGAGGGGGAGGGGCATGCCAAGCCCTGAGGCGGGGGAGGTGGTTGGGCAGCCGCCTCTTCGACTATCCCAGAATCTGCAGCCGAGTTGTGGCTTCTGGAGTTCCGTTGTGTCTTTTAGCAATGGTTCAGTGTTCCCTTTAAGGTTGAGGAAGGAGTGGGTTGCTTGGGATTTTGGGGTGGTGCTGTCAGGTGAACCCCCAAATTAGGCTGGTGGCGAGGATAGAGCCTTGGTTCAGTCCGAGAGCAGTTTGGGCTCTCTGAGCAACCAACTCAAAGTTCTCTGACTTGGGGGGTGCGAGCTCTGCCCCCTCAGCAACCCCCACGGCTCATAAGCCCAGAAAGTTTCAAGGCTTTTTTGCTTCAAATCCAGAGGTGGTGCAGGTGTTTCACTGAGTCTCTTCCCCAGCCTGGATGGACCACCAAGACTTTGGCTCCATCTGCATTTTCGGGACAGGAGGGTGTGGTCTACAGTGGGACAGATGTGGGGGTGCTCCCCTTTGCTGGGGAGGGGGCAGCTTAGAGCCCTGGGGGAAGGGCATTGGCGAGAACTGTCTCTGGATCCATGTAGCTGCAGACTAAGGTAGGAGGCCCCCGTTCCCATTTCCGGTATGTCCCAGAGTGCGGCTGGGCTGGCCTACCGGGCAGGGCTGTTGTAGGGATTGGAGAAGAGTCCTCCCCACATGCAGCCCCTTGCTTAAGACAGGAGGCAGAGTCGGGCAGCATAGCTCTTTATTCAGCTGTCCCAGAGGCTTACAAAGACCCTTGTGTCCGGCAGAGCAGAGGACCCCACCTGACTCAGGCAGGCAGGTAAAGTTGGGGCCAGGTGAGGGACGAGATCCAGGGCTCCTACGCAGCCCTGGAGGCCAGAGAAGGGCCCGGGGTCGCCCGGAGCTTCTCAATGACCTCTCGCAGCCCTTTGGTGAAATGCAGGTCAGCTCCGATGGTGAGGTAGCCCTGGAGAGGCAAGCAGGAGGTTGGCTGGCTGGTGGGGCAGAGCGTCCCAGCTCCATGGGTCCTGGTGGGGAGGGGGGGGATCTTACTTACCAAGTGGCTCCTGACGGCCTCCTTGGTGAAGTCCATGCCTTCAGGGAGGGGGATTCGGACCCCTTTCGTGGTCTTCTCTGCAAGGAAGAGGAAGGGGCTTTGCTGGTCTTGCTCATTGCTGAATCCTTGGTGCGAGTGTTTGCGTCCACACAAGCGTGCCTCACCCCGGCCACCCTTCTGCAGCCCACCCACCCAAAGGGTCCAGCCCCCTGCCCCCACAGAGTTGCCCCACATGCGCCCGCCTCCCCGTGCCTACCGTTGATGAAGGGCATGATGGTCATTTGCAGCAGGGTCTTCAGGGGGGCTTGCAGTGGGAGGAGCTGGAGGGGGGACAGGGGAGAGGGGTTGGGACCAGTCCAGCCTAGCCCCTGTTGCAGGAGAAGGGATGTGGCTGGGCAGGATAGGCACCGGGAGCCCCCCATCAGTCAGGACCCGCTTGGCTCCTGGCTCTGCCCCTCCGTGGCCTGACTTCAAAATTAGACTTACTGCCAAAGATTCAAAGGCTGACTGGTTGGAGTAGATCCGGAACCTGAATGGGGGGGGGGAAGAAGGGGGGGGTGAGGGGGAGAAGCGCTACCAAATTGGGGCCAGCGGTCATCCTCCCCCCCAACATGCACCCCAGGGACACCCAGCTCTACCTTCGGAGATCCAGCTGCACCTGAAGAGCCTTATGGTGAAGGACCACCTTGGCGCTCAGGCGGGATTCCTGCGTGGGAAGAGTCCACAATGGGGGAGGGCCGGCCGGAGCATGGCTTGCAGACCCCTCCCTCGGCTCTGTCCCCCCCACCCATCAGACCTTGTGGTTCCCAGAAGGAAGCCCCTTGCTCAACACCAGAAGCAATCAGAAGGATGGAAACCCCTCCCCAGGGCAGGGGGGGCCCAGGGGGTGGGGGTGGGCTCACCATAGTCAGGCTGGAAAGCAGAATTGGGGGCTGGTTCAGGGGGGCCAAGAAGATGTTGAGCAGGGCCGAGACAGAGACGGATGTGCCGGAGGACCGGATGGTGCAGCGAGGGGCTTCGGTCACCTGCAGCTTCAAGATCAGGGGCGCGTCCACCACATCGGGGTTCTGGGGAGAGGACAGAGGGTCAGCCAAGGGGCAAGCCGGAAGACAAGCGGACCCTGCTGGAGAAGAAGTCTTGCTAAAAGGGAACCAGAAACTGCCTTGTGGCTTTCGGAGAGCTTATTTCAGCTCGCTCGTAATAAGGAATTGAAAATAAAACTTCTGGTTTTGATTCCCACACTGGAAGAAGGCAGGTCGCCACATTTGTGGGGGGGGGCAGAGGGGAGGGTTGCAGAAGAACCGTAAAGGGGAAGCGATGAAGATAAATTGGGGTTGTTAAAATGCAAAACTGACAAGATTTAGCACAGAAATCTGGAGAAAATGACAGTCAAAATGCAGAGAAGAGCAACCAGGATGATGAGGGGACTGGAGGCTAAAATACATGAAGAACAGTTGCAGGAACTGGGCCTGGCTAGTCCAGGGAAGAGAAGGACCAGGGGAGACAGGAGAGCAGCCTTCCAGTATTGGAGGGGCTGCCACAGGGAGGAGGAGGGGGGTCAAGCTGTTTTCCAAAGCACCCGAAGGCCAGACAAGGAACAATGGATGGAAACTGAACAAGGAGAGATTCAACCTGAAAATAAGGAGAAGTTTTCTGACAGTGAGAACCATCAACCAGTGGAACAGAAGTTGCCTTTGGAAGTTGTGGGAGCTTCATCCCTGGAGGCTCTGAAGAGACTGGACTGCTATCAGTCAGAAATGGTGTAGGGTCCCCTGCTTGGGTGGGGGGTTGGACTAGATGACCTCCAAATCTGTTAATCTTTTAATTATTATGGACTGTTGCATATAGTCAGCCAGATATTATACCGGTAATTCTGAAATTTATTTGCCACCCATCTAGTTTCAAAGTGAGATTATTCCTACATGGATAATGAGGTCCTTCCTGTAAATTTCCCTTCCAAGTTCACCCCCTCCCTCCCTCCCTCCCTTACCAACAGCATGATGCTTCCGAAGAAAGAGGCTCTCAGCAAAACTTGCAAATCCTTTGGCACCTGCAACAAGGGATGGGGGGGGGGGGCGTGAGGGGCAGGCGATGGGCAAGGCAGCAGCTTTCACCCCGCTCCTTACCCCCTCCCTGCCAGCCCTCTCTTCCTCTCGGCCACGGCCCCTCCGAGAGACCCCCACCCAGCCCGGCCTACCTCATCCCCCGCAAATTCCATGTTCAGGACCCCCGCCCGGTAGTAGGAGAAGAGGGCGGAGTCGAAGAAGTATTCAGAGAGCCCCATGTAGACCATCCGCTCCGTCTCCCTCAGGAGGGGCTCCGGGGCCAGGTTGGGCAGGGTCTCGTTCTCGTTTTGCAGAGGGAAGAACATGCCCTGCAAGCAGAAGGCGCCGAGTCACACCGGAAGGAGGGTCCGGGGCAGGCCTTTGGGGCCACGGCCCCCTCCCCTCATTCCCATCTGGGACAGAGCCAGGCCACAAATACCTGCCAGGGGTGGGATCAGGGTGGGTGGGTGGATGTTTGCTGTACAGGTAGTCCTCGACTTACAACTGTTCATTTAGTGACCCGTCAACGTTACAACAGCACTGAGAAAAGGGACTTGTGACACTTCCAACCTCTGCAGCAGCCCCCTGGTCACATGGTCAAAAGCCAAGTGCTTGGCCCCTGGCAGGAACTTATGCCGGCTGAGGTGTCCTGAGCTCACCTGCTCCCCTTCCTGCAACCTTCAATTCAGTGGGGAAGCCAGGTTCACTTAACAACCGTGTTACTAACTTATCAACTGCCGGGATTCACTTAACAACTCTGGCAAGAAAAGTCATAAAAAGTCACTTAGCAACTTTCTCACCTAGTGATAGAAATTTTGGGGTCGTAAGTGGAGGGCTGCCTGTATTTTCCCACAAAGTTCTATGGGGGGCTCCGTCCTCCAGGTCCCGGTGGCCCCAAAGGTGCTTTTCCCAAAAGGCAACTGGGCTTCCTTGTTTGTTTGTTTCTCCTTTGAAAATGTTTCCTGATCTGTCCCCGTCCCCACACACACACAACACAGCCAGCCGAGGGTTAAGGAAACACTTTGGAACGCACCCAGTTCTTATCTCCCTCTTGGCAGCGATAGACACACCGTCTGCCAAGGGACTTTATTTTCACAAACAGACAGGTAAGATACGAACGTTCAAGAAAGTCCAAACAGAAATAATATTCCTCCCAGCAGTTCCGGACGAGGCTTTAGTGACTGTCCAAGGTTTACTTTGTTCGTCACAAAAGATCCTTGACCACTACCCTCTATTATATAGTCTCTGGGGTGTGGTCCAGTGACTCAGTTCTAATCCCTAGCACGCCTCCCAAGCTGCTGCAAACGTTTATCACGCCTTCGGAGGCGTGCGTCCAGGAATGATGTTTCATTATCACTTTGATTCGAATCAGCTGTCTCTTCTCCCTCGGCCGGCACTTGAGACAATGCCAGAGGGGAGGGGCCTGGAGAGGGAGGCCTGGCTGACTCCTCTTCCTCATGCTCGGAGCTTTCTTCCTCCGATGGGACAGGCTCAGAGGGCAGGGCCACAACATTTCCCTTCCCCTCCAAGAAGCTTCTTCGGTTCTCACTAAGTGGCAGCTGAGGAAGCTTCCTGGGTGAGAAGCCAGGCGTTTTCAAAGGGAGGACAAGGGAGTCCGGTCGCCTTTTGGAAAAGCCGTTCTGGGGCTCAGGAGGCCGGGACAGGCCTCCTCCCGCTCTACGTTTCCAGAGTGTTTAGTGTGGCACAACCAATATCTTTATCTTTTTTTTTAAACCCTGGCTTTTGCCAGCTCTAAGGGGAAGGAAGGCAGCCCAGAGTGAGGCAGTGGTTAGTTCCACCGGCCGTCAAACGTGGCTGCCCCGTCTTCTCCTTTGGCAGCACTGAGGATGATTTAATCTGCTCATCCCAATTTCTCTTGGATGCCACATCCCATAAAGGCAGGGGGACCAGCAAGGGGGGGGAGAGGAAATAGTTTTGTGCAAGTGGCAGATGTGCACACATGGACAGCTCCATTTACACACGCGACGAGCATTCACACGCGCGTGACGGAGCTTCACGCACACACACGAGTGCCCACCAGTCAAAGACCTGGAGCTGCATATGCCCAGTTCTGAAGGTGCCCTGGCCCGGGGGTTGGGGATCCCTGCCATAAGGGAAGCCTCTGCACGGGGCACTCAGCGGGTACCTTGAAATCCAGGTCTATGTTCTCCGGGGTGACATGGGGGTCATTGAGTAGGGAGTAGTCGCTGCCCACGTATTCGTCCACTGGATTGCGCACTGCAGAGGAGGAGAAAATAGCGAGGAAGAATCCCGTTGCACCAGGGTTGCCCCCTGCCCAGAGTTCTCCCTCCGCCTTCTTTGGCAGGAAAAGGGGATGCTGCCCACCACTCACCGGGCACCGTGTCCAGCAGGGAGTTGAGTAGCACCAGCCCAGCGTGGTTGAGCGCAGGGCAGATCTGAAAGGCAGAGAGAAATCGGAGCTGGTGGGAAAAGGGAAGGAACAGCCTCCCTCCTGGAGTGGTGGTGGCTCCACTGCTGGAGCTTTTCCAGGAAAGTTTGGGCAGCCGTTTGTCCAGCATGGTATAAGGTCTTGGTAGGGGAGCTGGACTAGAAGACCTCTAAGGTCCCTTCCAACCCTATGCCAGAGTTGGGGCGTCCCAGTGGGTTCTTTACCTAGGCTGGCCCCAAAGTCCTTCAGGTGCCCCAATAGTCTACTCCCTAAGGCTACTCCAAGTAGCAACGTTCCCTCTGCGGTTGGAAGCCCAGTGGAGCCACTGAGAGAAACCTTGGACAGAGGAATGTAAGGGGGGAAATTGCAGGGGTTCATAGGCAAAAATCAGGGTTTCCCTGCTCTACACTGGACTCAGGGGAGACTGGCACACCTGCCACCTGTGCGCTGTTCCCTTCGCCTTTGGCCAGCAGGGCTCACCTGGGGCTTGGGGCTCACCTGTTGACTGATTAGGTAGCGCATCCCTGTGGTGAGGAGTATGGCCACGAATTCATAGACCTTTCTGGAGAGAGTCAGAAAAGGCTGGTCAAGGCTAAAGATCCCTCCTTTAGGAGTGTCGCCCCCTCCCCACCTGCTGCTTCTTCAAAGTTTTCTTCCTTGGCAGGAGAAGGCAGCCTGCTCGGCATCCACCTCTTGGCAGCCCCGGGTCCTGGCATGCCACCCCCACCCCAGGGTCCTTCCGGGGGGGGCGGAGATTCCCTTGACAAAATGGGCTCCCCCTCCCTTCCAGGCCCCCAGGAGAGGGAGGGGCTGGGGCCGGTTACCGGAGGGTGCCACTGAATCCCGCGTGCATCCGGGCGATGGAGGCGTTGCAGCTCATGTTGGCGATCTTGAGGCGGCCCCCCTGGTCCCTGGAGAGCCTCAGCAGGGTGTGGATGTTGACCCCTTCGGCCCACGTCTTGATGGAGCCAATGTCATAGCTGGGCAGCAAGCAGTTGGAGAAGTGAGGAGGGAAGGGGCTTCAGATGGCCCCTTGCCACAGGCTTCCCTCTTCATCCCTAAGACCCCCCCTCTTCCTCCTTCCCTGTGCAGACCGTACAGAAGGCGCCAGGGGTCCCATCAAGGCCAGAGAGCCCTGGGTTCGAAGCGCAGGACTGCTGGTGGAGTTTGGGAGGGGGGATATATTATAATTAGAAGCCCGTTTTTGTTTTTAATGCAGTTGGTTTTTATTGTTTTAATATGGTCTGTATGTTTTTGTTTTTGTTTTTGATGGGGAATCACCCAGGGATTGTTACAGATATTCCTCCACTTACAACCACAATGGAGTCCAAAATTTATGTTGCAAAGTGAACCATTTGTTAAGTGAATTTTGCCCCATTTTATGACCTTTCTTGCCACAGTTGTTAAGTGAATCACTGCTGTGGTCAAGATAGCAACACGGTCGTTAAGCGAATCTGGCTTCCCCCATTCAATTGACTTGGTTTGTCAGAAGGTCACAAAAGGGGGCCACATGGCCCTGGGACACAGCGAGCGTCATAAATACGAGTCTGCTGCCAAGCGTCTGAATTCTGATCACGTGACCAAAATGGGGGATGCTGCAATGGTCGTAAGTGTGAAAAACATCATAAGTCACTTTTTTTTCAGGGACGATATATCTCTGAATGGTCACTAAACGAATTGTTTCAAGTCAAGGACTGCCTGTAGAATAAGAAGGAATGAAGGAGCCACTCACAAGAACCAGTAGAGCAGCTGCCGCCGGAATCGCACCCCGATGGAGCCGTTGTTGATCCGGAAGGCCAGGTCCTGCTCCGGTTGGAAGTGGAGCTCAGAGAAGTTCAGCTGCAGGTGAGTCACCTTCACGCTGCAGGGAGAGACGCTCAGGTGGGGATGGGGGTCCTCTGCCCCCTACCCCGTCTCCCCACCTCTTCCCCTGCCATCGCCCCCCTTGGTGCCAGCCCAGGGGTGAAATCCAGCAGGTTCTGACGGGTTCTGGAGAACCGGCAGCGGAAATTTTGAGTAGTTCGGAGAACCGGCAAATGCCACCTCTGGCTGGCCCCAGAGTGGGGAGGGAATGGGGATTTTGCAGTATCCTTCCCCTGCCACGCCCCCCAAGCCACGCCCACAGAACCGGTAGTAAAAAAAATAGCATTTCACCACTGTGCCAGCCCCTGCCCCGCCTCAGCCTGTGTGGGTCTCAGGGTGTTGCACAAACTGTGCACCGAGTTAGGGGCCTTGTGCCCCCTGCAAAGAGGGAGGAGCAAAACAGGAAGGAGATGAAGGTGAGGAGTCTGGGTGGGTGGGGGGGTTGAAATCAAAGGGTTTGGAGACCCTGGGAGGCTTTCCCGATTGGCCGCTTCCACAGACACCAACGGTTGTTGTGGTAACCCTGGGCTAGGTTCCAGCCCTGCCCAGCCCCCAGCAGAGACAGGCTGCTCTCTTCACTCCTGCAACAGAATCCGTGTGTTTTTTCTTGCATCAGCTGTCACAGAGCCAGGAGGGTAAACTCTATTGCGCTTCTCTGCCTCACTTGAAGAGCTCCTGCCATCCATCCAGTTTGGATCAGTCCCTGCCAGATTCCTGGGGGAAGTCTCCTTATTTTAGGATGGAGGATAGACAATTCCATAGGCACACACACACACACACACACACACACTCCTACGACAGCAGTGCCCTTTGCCTGCATTAGTGCCTTACGCCAAGAGTTGGAAGGGACCTTGGAGGTCATCTAGTCCAGCCCCCCACCCAAGCAGGAGACCCCACACCATTTCTGACAGAGGGAAGTCCAGTCTCCCCTTGAAAGCCTCCAGGGATGAAGCTCCCACAACTTCTGAAGGCAACTTCTGTTCCATTGACTGATGGTTCTCACTGTCAGGAAATTCCTCCTCATTTCCAGGCTGAATCTCTCCTCGATGAGGCCCCCATTCCTCCTGCAGGCTCATCTGCCTCTTCCCCACCCCCCACCCCCGCTGCAGCTCTTTCCTCCGCCTCCCACAGACCATCACACCTGCCGCATTGGTTGGCTGGGTGAACTCAGCTGCCTCCTCAGGCTCAGGGATCAAGCAGGCCAGGCGGGCCGAGGGGGCTTGAGGGGCTCTTGGGAGGAGCCGGGGCCTGTAAGCAGCCAGCCCAGCCAACTCACCTGCTGATGTTGTAGTGGAACTTGCCCTGCTTGCCATGCAGATCAGGGATAGAGATGCTCTCCAGCTCCTGCTCCACGAAGCGCAGACCCTCCTGCTTCACTGCAAGAGACCCCCAAAGGCATCACCCCCAGTCTGGCCACTGCTGGCCAGTAGCCCAGAGCCCAAACTATCAGCCTGCCTGTGGGGAAGTGAAGTCAGGCCGCCACTCTTACCTGTGTGGGCAATGGGCAGTGCCAACCAAACCAGCAGGGGGAAAATGGGGGTCCCCCTGCTGGAGCCAGTGGGAATGCATCCCCAAGCCTGGACCCCCCCTGCCCCCCTCTTCGTGCTCCCCCCCCCCCCCCCCCCCGCCCCATCCGCTACTTACCCAGCGCCAGGCCCTTGTCTGTGATTCTCATCTTGCAGGCAGGAGTGTGGGCAGCCACAGAGGCTGTGCCCAGCCAGGTCAGCAAGAACAGTAGGCAGTGCAGAGGCATGGCAGCTCTTTCCTGCAAGGGGCAAGAGGTCAGTTTCCAGAGGGAAGTGTGCGCAGGGGGCTCCCCTTAGAATGACCCAGTCCTGAGAACATCTGCACCCCTTGGGCATCTTTCTTAGGCTCACAAGGGAAGCCCCCCTCCAGGTGAGGTGGACAGCATAATAAGCTGGGAGAGAGAGGGGGGGTAGGTAGGTAGGTAGATAGGTAGGTAGGTAGATGAGGCAGGCAGGCAGAGACAAATGGCAGCACCACCGATCTTCAAAGGGAGGCCACAGGTGGGCGTCTCTCTGCTGGGGCTCTGGGGAGACCCGGCCCTTCGCCACTATTTTCTTTCCACCGCCTTAAGGGCATCGGTGGCCAGAGATCAAGCGGGGGCAACCAAAGTATCCCAGATTGGCGCGGAGAGAGGGCCCAGAGACCAGGGGCTTCTCCCAAAAACCTCGCAGCCCGCGTCTTTCGGCCGCTTCATCCGCTCTGGTCCCCGAAGAAAGCAGCGATGCCGGGGGGGGGGCCCTCCGGCCAGCAAGCCCCCAGCCCGACTCTCCTCCCCGAAACGCCCATCCAGGTGCTGCCCGGTCCGAAGGAGCGCAGCAGCGCGCAGCCCGGGCGCGGGTCCCGTCTGCCGGGGAAGGAGAAGGGCGGAACTCGGCTGTCCATGTGGGGCCGGGAGGTCCCAGGCAGCCGCTTCTCCGAGTTCGGAGCCCGCCCTCCTAAGCGTCCCTGCCGGCAGCCGCGGTTTCGCGCCCGCTCGCCCGGACAACAGCCGAGAGGCAGCCCGCGGCAGAGGCAGCGCGCCGGGCGCAGTTGCTCCTGCTGGGTCCCCCGTCTGGAAGGCGAGAAACTGCGCTTGGAGGGGGCCGGGCCGGTCTCGGGAGTTGGGGGAATTGGGGCGGGGGGTGCGAGGAAAAGGGGATCCCGCCCGCCTCCCCCCTTCGCCTCCTGCCCGCCCATCCGCCCCACTTGCCGGCCTTCCCGCTTTCGCTTGTCCGGCCACTCGCGCTCGGCCAGCCGCCTTTATACGCCCTCGCGGCGGCTTTCCGGAGCCCGCCCCAGCCGGAGGGAGGGGAGGCGAGGGAGAGTCCCGCCGCTGGCCGGGATGCCGGGCTCGGCCGCTTCGGCAAGGATGGGCAGCCGCGGGTCTCTCCGCAACGGGGGCGAACTTGGCCCGAGGAGAGCGCGGGGGGGGGGGGGGGGGGGGGGGGGGGGGGGGGGGCGCCACCTTGGGCTGAGGTCCAGACTCCCTGCAGAAGGCCTGTTCCCCAACAAGGAGGAGAGGAGCTGCAGCCCTCCGGGGTCAGGGGAGCCCAGCCAGGGGCCCAGAAGAGCCCGGCTGTCCATGGGGGGCTTCCACCCCCTTCAACCGGCCCTGCACCCCCTTGCTTACAGCCTTGGAAGGAGCTTCCTCGAACTTCCTTGATCTCCCCAGGAAATGGGCTCCATATCCTGTCTCCAGAGAGCCGCTTTCCTGCGGGGGGGGGCGCTTCTGTGCTAGAAAACAAGGATGGTGCCCCACCCTCCCCACCTGCTAGGAGCCCATTGCTAGACATCTCTGCGGGGGGGGGGGCACTGTAGCCCGAGCCAAGAACTCCGTGTGATGAGGGGTGGATGAAAGCATAATCAAAGCTCCCCTCCGTCCCCCTCCCGGACTCTCCCATCTGAGTCCTTTGAAAGACACAACATGGGGGGGGGGGGCTGGAGCCCTGCCAGAGGTCCTCCCACCCCTTCATCTCTACCTTTTTCTAGGCCCAAAGCATGGGCAGCCCTCCCCCCATTTTATCCTCTGCAACTCTAGCAGGGAGGGCAGTCAGGAGGAGGGTGGGCTTCATGGCTGAAGGGGGATCTCCATCTGCTTTCTCACTCACCAACTTCCTCCTTCCAAATTCTGCCACTCAGCAGTTCTGAGCCGGGTGGTTTCCTCTTCGTCCCAAGGACACTCAGCAGCCACAGGATACGGCCGACCCAGAGTTTCTCCTGCCCCCGCCCAGCACTAAATCACAAAATCTCCAGAGATACAGGTGGGGGGGGGGGATGTGGCTCTGCTTGCTTCCATCCCCTGCAAGGGAATTGAAATCCTGCATCTGGGGGTGGGGGGCGGGCTAGCTGATTTTCAGAGAGGAGGAGGAAACCGTTTGCTGACACCCGCCAAGCTGGGTCTTTGGAACCTCCAAAATTCAGGGGGGTCAGTTGACCTTCGGGTGAGCAGTTGCTGGGGAGGAAGAGCAGGAAGGAGGATTCCCTTCACCCTCAGGCTCAGCAACTCTTCAGCCACCTACAGTGGGAGCTACAGATAGTTCTCGACTTACGGCCACAATTGAGCCCAAAATTTATGCCAAACTTGTTAGGTTTATACCCAAAATTGTTAGGTTTTGCCCCTTGTGCCCCCTTTCTCACCACCGTTGCTAAGTGAATCGTTGCAGTTATTCAGTTGCTAACATGGCTGCTAAGTGAACCTGGCTTGTTCAGACTTTGCTTGTCAGAAGGCCGTGAAGGGGGATCACATGACCCCAGGACACTGCGACCGTCATAAATATGAGTCAGTTACCAAGTGCCTGAAATATTACCCTTTGACCATGGGAATGCTCCAACGGTCATTAAGTGTGAAAAATGGTAATAAGTCACTTTTTTCAGTGTCGTCGTAGCTTTTTATTATTATTATTATTTCTTTATACATTTTCTCTTTACATACATAAGTCTTTGTGAACAGCGTGTTGTCTGGGTTAATTTGCTTACATAATACTATTTTTCCAGTTCCTAGTTTCTACCTCTGTTGTCGAACCATTTGTAAAACAAGTTCCATGTCCGAAAATAGTCTGTGTCTTCTTTTTCTCTTATCTTCAATGTCAGTCTGTCCATTTCTGCACACTCTAATATTTTTTTGATTATTGCTTCTTCTGTAGATGTTTCCTCATTTTTCCGGTGCTGTGCAAATACAATTCTTGCTGCTGTCAAGACATATAATATTAAATATAAATTCCTTTTCTCATATTTTTCTGGCATTATGTCTAACAAAAATAATTCTGATTTATAATCTATATGCTGTTTTAACATATAGGACCAGGGACATATTACCACATGTGGTGGACATGTTCAAAAGCAGAAAAAATTTGGACGAAAATGCACACATGGTTAGTGCCATTGTAACTTTGAATGGTCACTAAAGGAACTGTTGTAAGTCGAGGACTATGTCTCTGGACCAGCCTCGCTTTCCAACATTTTCCCTGCAGGTCCCTGGCTTGCCCCTCCCAGGATGCCAGGCCTGGATGGCTGGGTCTTGCCGGAGTCCTGGGTCACAGCCACCCTCCGTCGTGCTGGTCTTCCTCAGGGACCCTTCGCGGCTGATCTCTCTGCCCAGGGAGCCACTTCTGCCACTTCGTGAGTTCAGAAGCTGCAGCTGCTCCCCAGAGCATTTATTTTCAGGAAGCTTCCCTGTAATCTGTTGCCATCCCAGCATAACCACCCTGGGCTGCACAGATGTTATTATGACACACCTATCCTGCCTTTTAGTTAAAATAGTTTCCCTGTGAATATTCAACCCCTCTGGGAAACGACACCGCAGGGCTGTGGGCAGAAGGGAGGCCTGGCTTTTTTGTGGCTGAAGGCTACTCGGGGTTGAGTGGGCCCCAAGTACTACTACTACTACTACTTGGGCCGGCCGGCTGGCTCCGAGAAGGAAGCAGCAGGACCTTCTGCAGAGCCTGAGCAGCAAAGCTGATCTCAGCAGGTTCAGAGCAAGCAGGGCCGGCCACGCCAAGACTGTCCCCACAGACACACGAGGGGGACACAGACCCACCCTGGGCCTTGCCTGCACATGTCCCGCCTGAGGGAACTGGCTGTGCCAATGGCAGGCAGAGCCAAATGCAGGGTGGCTTGGGGGGGGGGATTGCAGCACTGCTCGGATTTCAGATTCCTGTGGGTGGCAGCACACACCACGCGCTGCTGGACCCCAAAACAGCTGCCCGATGGTGGGGAGCCCCTCAGAGCATGCCAAACGAGGCCAACAAACCTCATGCATGCCCTGGGAATCCTCCAGGGGGGTTCCTCAATTTTTTGCAGCTGTGAGTTTGCTTCTCAGGAGGAGGAGGAGGAGGAGGAGGAAGCAGCTTCACCAATGTACCCAGACATCTAGAGGGACAAACCATCCCCTCGGCTGGCCTTCCTTCACCCACTGCCACACCCCTGGGCCCTTCCTGTTGGCATGCTGGGTTCTGCTGGAGGAAACAGCTGCAGGTCTCTTGCAGCAAGGCCTGTGAGGCTCCGGCCTTTGAGGAAGGCCAGCAGGGTGCTTACGGAGCCGGTCGCTGGCGTCTCCTCAGGATGCAGCCCTACCGGAACCATTGGCTGACCCATGGCCCTTCCCAAGCAGAAGGAACAGACTAATGGAGTTGGAAGGGACCTTGGAGGTCTTCTAGTCCAACCCCTGTTCAAGCAGGAAGCCTCTGGTTCCCTACAAGCTGTGGCCTCCCTCTGCAGACCCGCTCAACCCCTGCCCGGTCCTTGGCTTGCAAGTCGCTCCTCACCCCAAAGGACGTTTCTTTCAGGGTGCTGCCCGAGCACTCAGAGCTTTGATGAATTCCTTCTGGGAAAGAAGAAGCCAGGTGCCCCCGTCAGGCCCTCAGACTCATTCTAAGAACTCTGCTCTGGGCTCCGGGTTGCAAGCCGTCTGGGAAATCCCAGCCCTGGCACAAGAGAGAGCGCCCCACCCACAAGGGGTCTCCTGATCCCTGGCACCATCACCTCAGCCTCCCTGGACTTGAAGCAAGAGGAAGAATCCCAGACGGAGAGGCACCAGGGCAAGCAAGAACCTCTCTTGCCTGCACAAGTTGGGCTCTGCCTCAGGAAGTCTCCAAAGGGCTTTGCATCTTGCTTACCCTCCAACCACAGGGCAGCCCCTCAAATACAGAAGGGTTCCTGCTGGAGCAGGACTCTCTTAAGGGGAGGAGTGGCATTGGACAAGTTCCTGACACACACACACACACACAGGCAAAGCCATAGGCACAACCACCAGCCTGTGGGTGCTTTTCCCAGCTACTCACCCACAGAGGAATCTCCTTGTGCGGCTGTTACATCACGCCAGCAATATCCAAATGGGAATGGGTTTGCCCAAGGCGCCTGCAACACACACAGGTTGTCCCTGGAGCTACTCAGGGACTGGAGCATCAGGGGGACAGAATCCCGCCTTGCTGCATTCTGGAGGGAAGAGCGGCAATTTTACCTCTTGCCCTCCCAGTCTCCTCCTGAAAAGAACAGCCAGCCTGCCTCTGGACACCAGCCCCACACTGGGACACTGGACAGATGTTTTCCCACGAGGAGAGTTTGGTTCCCTGCACAGGACACAGAGCAACAATATGTGCACCAGGAAATGTTCTAGCGTCATGTGAGAAGGGACCCTTGAGGTCATCCAGGACAACCCCCCCACCTGGAGGATTCCATCTTAAATTAACAGATTAGCAGAGTTGGAAGGGACCTTGGAGGTCATCTAGTCCAACCCCCCACCCAAGCAGGAGACCCTACACCATTTTTGACAGATGGCAGCCCAGTCTCTTCTTGAAAGCCTCCAGTGATGAAGCTCCCACAACTTCTGTTCCATTGGTTGTTCTCTCTCAGAAAAATTATCCTTATTTCCAGGTTGAATCTCTCCTTGGTCTGTTTCCATCCATTATTCCTTGTCTGGCCTTCGGGTGCTTTGGAAAACAGCTTGACCCCCTTCCTCCTCTCAGTAGCTGCCGCTCAAACATTGGAAGATGCTCTCCTGTCTCCCCTGGTCCTTCTCTTCACTAGACCAGCCACGCCCAGTTCCTGCCACTGTTCATGTTTTATCTTCTGTTCGTGTTTTAACCTTTCATCCTGATTGCTCTTCTCTGCACTTTCCAGTCTCAACATCTTTTTTATAGTGCGTTGACCAAAACTG